GATGTTACTATGGTATACTGAAGTATAATTACAAGCATTCCATAAGTGTCAAAGGCTTGTATTGACAATTACATTAAGTTTATGCAAAGAGTCAATATTTACATGTTGACCCTTCTTTTTCAAGACCTCTGCAATCCGCCCTGGCATCCTGTCAATTAACTTCTGGGCCACATCCTGACTGATGGCAGCCCATTCTTGCATAATCAATGCTTGGAGTTTGTCAGAATTTGTGGGTTTTTGTTTGTCCACCCGCCTCTTGAGGATCGACCACAAGTTCTCAATGGGATTAAGGTCTGGGGAGTTTCCTGGCCATGGACCCAAAATGTTGATGTTTTGTTCCCCGAGCCACTTAGTTATCACTTTTGCCTTGTGGCAAGGTGCTCCATCATGCTGGAAAAGGCATTGGTCGCCACCAAACTGTTCTTGGATGGTTGGGAGAAGTTGCTCTCGGAGGACGTGTTGGTACCATTCTTTATTCATGGCTGTGTTCTTAGGCAAAATTGTGAGTGAGCCCACTCCCTTGGCTGAGAAGCAACCCCACACATGAATGGTCTCAGGATGCTTTACTGTTGGCATGACACAGGACTGATGGTAGCGCTCACCTTGTCTTCTCTGGACAAGGTGTTTTCCGGATGCCCCAAACAATCGGAAAGGGGATTCATCAGAGAAAATGACTTTACCCCAGTCCTCAGCAGTCCAATCCCAGTACCTTTTGCAGAATATCAGTCTGTCCCTGATGTTTTTCCTGGAGAGAAGTGACTTCTTTGCTGCCATTCTTGACACCAGGCCATCCTCCAAAAGTCTTCGCCTCACTGTGCATGCAGATGCACTCACACCTGCCTGCTGCCATTCCTGAGCAAGCTCTGCACTGGTGGTGCCCCGATCCCGCAGCTGAATCAACTTTAGGAGACGGTCCTGGCGCTTGCTGGACTTTCTTGGGCGACTTGATGCCTTCTTCACAACAATTGAACCTCTCTCCTTTAAGTTCTTGATGAGCCAATAAATGGTTGATTTATGTGTAATCTTACTAGCAGCAATATCCTTGCCTGTGAAGCCCTTTTTGTGCAACGCAATGATGACGGCACATGTTTCCTTGCAGGTAACCATGGTTAACAGAGGAAGAACAATGATTTCAAGCACCACCTTCTTTTTAAAGCTTCCAGTCTGTTATTCTAACTCAATCAGCATGACAGAGTGATCTCCAGCCTTGTCCTCGTCAACAATCTCACCTATGTTAACGAGAGAATCACTGACATGATGGCAGCTGGTCCTTTTGTGGCAGGGCTGAAATGCAGTGGAAATGTTTTTTGGGCATTAAGTTAATTTTCATGGTAAAGAGGGACTTTGCAATTAATTGCAATTCATCTGATCACTCTTCATGACATTCTGGAGTATATGCAAATTGCCATCATCAAAACTGAGGCAGCAGACTTTGTGAAAATTAGTATTTGTGTCATTCTCAAAACTTTTGACCATGACTGTACAATGTTGTTAATCCATTCTCTGTTTTCTCCAGTCACAGCCATTAAACTCTATTACTGTTTTAATGTCACCATTGGCCTCATGGTGAAATCCCTGAGCGGTTTCCTTCCTCTCCGGCAACTGAGTTAGGAAGGACGCCTGCATCTTTGTAGTGACTGGGTGTAATGATACACCATCCAAAGTGTAATTAATAACTTCACTATGCTCAAAGGGATATTCAGTGTCTGCTTTTTTTATCTACCAATAGGGGACCTTCTTTGTGAGGCATTGGAAAACCTGCCTGGTATTTGTGGTTGAATCTGTTTTGAAATTCACTGCTCAACTGAGGGACCTTACAGATAATTGTGTGGGGTACATAGATGAGGTAGTCATTCAAAAATCATGTTAAACACGATTGTTGCACATAGATTCCATGCAACTTATGTGACTTGTTAAGCACATTTTTACTCCTGAACTTATTTAGGCTTGCCATAACAATGGGGTTGAATACTTATTGACTCAAGACATTTCAGCTTTTCATTTTTAATGAAAAGTTGTCCTCTGTAGCTCAGCTGGTAGAGCACGGCGCTTGTAACGCCAGGGTAGTGGGTTCGATCCCCAGGACCACCCATACACAAAAAAAATTATGCACGCATGACTAAGTCGCTTGTGATAAAAGTGGCATATTATATTATTTATTAATTTGTATAAAATAAAAACATGAATTCCACTTTCACATTATGGGCTATTGTGTGAAGGCCAGTGACATAAAAAAAAATTCAGGCTGTAACAAGAAAATGTGGCAAAAGTCAAGGGGTGTGAGTACTTTCTGCAGACACTGTAGATGCTAGCTGATAAAACTGTCTCACTCATTCTGTAAGATGTTTTATTTCTCTGTGTCATTGGATCTTGTCATCGTTCTCTCATTTACCAATCAGTGGTTGGCAGTGATTGTGCTGGTTGTTATTCTTAAAAGTTCACGCTCTCAGGTATTTTGAATTCAGGTGACCAAACTCTACTGGGGGTTAGCCATGAATAATGAACAAATCATTATACAGCATCAGGTAGATGAACTGGATAGGTAAGCCATTTTTTTGCTTGAAGTTTGGTTGTATGATTTTTGTTTTTAACTGTTTGACATCTGCTGTGTAGAGATCACCGTCTGGGCAGCATTAACCTACTTCCCAATATTATGATTAGACTCAAGTGACTGGGAAATGTTTGTCATCTGTCAAAACGGAGACCACTGCCAACATTCAAGCATTGATTTTACACATTTTGAGAATATTCACCTCTACAGCTTTAGCGATTAGAAAATTGTGTTGAATTGAAAAATGTTGCCTATGCAATATTTAACTGAGTCAATTGAATGCTTTGTATTTTTATTAAGAGTTTGAGTTCTTCACAGAATCAACTCACAGCCTATACGTGAACTCCTTTGTGACTTTTACGAGTGTTAATGCTCAATACCAGTGGTGTAAATACTGAAGTAGTTTTTTGGGGGGTATCTGTACTTTACTATTTATAATTTTGACTACTTTTACTCCATTACATTCCTAAAGAAAATAATGTACTTTTTACTCCCATACATTTACCCTGACACCCAAAAGTACTAATTACATTTCGAATGCTTAGCAGGACAGGAAAATGGTCAAATTCAAACACTTAACAAGAGAACATCCCTACTGCCTCTGATCTGGCAGACTCACTAAACACAAATGCTTCGTTTGTAAATTATGTCTTAGTGTTGGAGTGTACTCCTGACTAACTGTAAAAAAAAAACTTGTGCCATCTGATTTGCTTAATATAAGGAATGTGAAAGGATTTATACATTTGATACTTAAGTATATTTTAGCTATAACATTTACTTTTGATACTTACATATATTTAAAACCCAAATACCTTTACTCAACTAGTGTTTTGCTGGGTGACTTTTACTTGATTCATTTTCTATAAAGGTATCTTTACTTTTACTAATGTATGCCAATTGGGTACTTTTCCCACTACTGCTTAATACATTGCTCCTCACATTGGCCATACACAACCTAAAGATGTGCTCCTCACACAACCTTTAGAAAGTTAACATATGAGCTCTTTACAACAGGGGTTCCCAAACGTTTTCACTCAGGCCCCCACTTCCAGCATTGGAGAACACCCCACGCCCCACGTCTGTTTCTATGGGCACAAGCACTGTTCATGACACAAACTGTTCACACCACTCTTGTTAACAGAGAGAGCATGTTGCAGGTTTAAAGCTTATTTCCTGCAAGTTTACTTATGTTTCCACTCTGCCTAATGTGTCTTAATGTGTTATTAGAGTGACTCAAACGTTGCAACAAAATCTAAGGTGTAAAACATATTTTTGCTAAAAAACATATGGGCTCGTTGATCTGCACATTTCCTACAAGTTATAAATGACATTTACATTTTAGTCATTTAGCAGACGCTCTTATCCAGAGCCACTTACAGTTAGTGAGTGCATACATTTTTCATACTGGCCCCCCGTGGGAATCGAACCCACAACCCTGGCATTGCATGCACCATGCTCTACAGGAGGCCTGTAGCTCTCTAAGGTATGCAGTGACTGACATGTCAAGAGGAAAACTGATGACGGACTACCGAATTTCGAAGTTGCACCTTGTGCATTCTACTATTACAACTTTCAAGAGTAGGTTGAAGGCCGGACTGAGTTATTACAGTTTGGGAACCACTGCTCTACAAAACCTGCTGCCTAGTCTACTGGTGAGGTGCACAACCTTTACATACACATGGAGAATCTTAATTTGAGCCAGTTTGCTACAGCAGGAAAATAATTCTGCTGCAATGGGAAATGTGAATTATGTGGATTATTATTATTATTATTATTATTCATGGTCATTTTTGTAGGGGTTGATACATTTTTCATAATGGAAAATCAAGTCTGAAATTTCAAAGTGGAAATTACAAACTTCAGCAACCTTTTTTTAAACCTCAAATACACTACAAATGTTAGATGTCCTGCATTGCAAGAAAGTTATCCTGCAACAGGTTGATCAAATTTAAGATCCTACATAGAGCATTAGTCTCAACACTGCAGTCAGTTGACCCCGTATGAACAGTGCTTAGCCATCCATCTCCACAGGCTGTTTGGGTTTAGACTACTCCTTTTCCTCTGGTTAGTGCATAACTGGCAGGCAGCGGTCTCTGACCTCTGAACCTCCGTGTCTGTGCTTCTCCTCCCATCTGGCTGATCTGAGGTCAATGATGCCTGTGGCTGCCCTGGGTTCAACCTCTCTCATCATTGTCAGGCGAGGCAGAAATAACACACTAGGTTTTCCCCCACAAGGCCAGTCTCCAATGTACAGCTCCTCTCATTCCCAGGACTTCATGCTGCTTACATTGCGTGGGTCCACAGGAGTGTAACACAATTCAAATGGTCTACTGAAAGAACTGGTCAGACCAACTACACGTGGTTCACTATGTCAGCAGGCAACAAGGCGATAACTAGAAGCTACCTTTTCATTGTTCTAATAGTCCTCTTCTCCCGCTGTCTCTTTCAGCGGAAGGCCTGCCCCAGGTGTTCTACTTTGGGCCCTGTGGGAAGTATAATGCCATGGTCCTAGAGCTGCTGGGCCCCAGTTTAGAAGACCTCTTTGACCTTTGTGACAGGACCTTCTCACTAAAGACTGTATTAATGATTGCCATTCAGCTGGTGAGTTCCCAACATCAAATAATGCTATATTTACCAGATTTGTTCAAACTGGTCTGCAATTCGAAGGTTGGGGTCAATTCCATGTAATTCGGCCAATTTAGGAGAACTTAAAATGTGATTCTGAAAAGTTATTTTTCCCAATTCATGATTTGGAAAGGGGCTTTTTTTAAAGTCATGAATTAATCCCCGGGAAAATATTGGATTATAATTGACCCCAATCCTGCTGAGATCAGATTTTTGGTAGAGTTTCTGTTTCCTTATTGAACCCTGATTTGATTGAACTTATTGGTCTAGTCTGTGTGTACCCATGCGTAGTCCAGGAGGCCACTCTGTTACTGACTGTCCTGTGCCGTCCCTATCCAGATCTCCCGGATGGAGTATGTGCACTCTAAAAACCTCATCTACAGAGACGTAAAGCCTGAGAACTTCCTCATCGGACGGGGAGGATGCAAAAAGGACCACATTATCCACATCATTGACTTTGGCCTGGCCAAAGAGTACATCGACCCTGAAACCAAAAAACACATCCCATACCGGGAGCACAAGAGCTTAACCGGGACAGCCCGATACATGTCCATTAACACACATTTGGGAAAAGGTATGTCTGGTTTGCCAAGAATTTCTAAGGGGTGGTTTACGCACATTTTTAAATGTAGTTATTAGTTATGACACTGCTTTGTCAGCATGCTAGTGTTGTTGTGAAACTTGGTTATGAGGTGTTTATACACTGCTCAAAAAAATAAAGGGAACACTAAAATAACACATCCTAGATCTGAATGAATGAAATAATCTTATAAAATACTTTTTTCTTTACATAGTTGAATGTGCTGACAACAAAATCACACAAAAATTATCAATGGAAATAAAATGTATCAACCCATGGAGGTCTGGATTTGGAGTCGCACTCAAAATTAAAGTGGAAAACCACACTACAGGCTGATCCAACTTTGATGTAATGTCCTTAAAACAAGTCAAAATGAGGCTCAGTAGTGTGTGTGGCCTCCACGTGCCTGTATGACCTCCCTACAACGCCTGGGCATGCTCCTGATGAGGTGGTGTATGGTCTCCTGAGGGATCTCCTCCCAGACCTGGACTAAAGCATCCGCCAACTCCTGGACAGTCTGTGGTGCAACGTGGCGTTGGTGGATGGAGCGAGACATAATGTCCCAGATGTGCTCAATTGGATTCAGGTCTGGGGAACGGGCGGTCCATAGCATCAATGCCTTCCTCTTGCAGGAACTGCTGACACACTCCAGCCACATGAGGTCTAGCATTGTCTTGCATTAGGAGGAATCCAGGGCCAACCGCACCAGCATATGGTCTCACAAGGGGTCTGAGGATCTCATCTCGGTACCTAATGGCAGTCAGGCTACCTCTGGCGAGCACATGGAGGGCTGTGTGGCCCCCCAAAGAAATGCCACCCCACACCATGACTGACCCACCGCCAAACCGGTCATGCTGGAGGATGTTGCAGGCAGCAGAACGTTCTCCACGGCATCTCCAGACTCTGTCACGTCTGTCACGTGCTCAGTGTGAACCTGCTTTCATCTGTGAAGAGCACAGTGCGCCAGTGGCGAATTTGCCAATCTTGGTGTTCTCTGGCAAATACCAAACGTCCTGCACGGTGTTGGGCTGTAAGCACAACCCCCACCTGTGGATGTCGGGCCCTCATACCACCCTCATGGAGTCTGTTTCTGACCGTTTGAGCAGACACATGCACATTTGTGGCCTGCTGGAGGTCATTTTGCAGGGCTCTGGCAGTGCTCGTCCTGCTCCTCCTTGCACAAAGGCGGAGGTAGCGGTCCTGCTGCTGGGTTGTTGCCCTCCTACGGCCTCCTCCACGTCTCCTGATGTACTGGCCTGTCTCCTGGTAGCGCCTCCATGCTCTGGACACTACGCTGACAGACACAGCAAACCTTCTTGCCACAGCTCGCATTGATGTGCCATCCTGGATGAGCTGCACTACCTGAGCCACTTGTGTGGGTTGTAGACTCCGTCTCATGCTACCACTAGAGTGAAAGCACCGCCAGCATTCAAAAGTGACCAAAACATCAGCCAGGAAGCATAGGAACTGAGAAGTGGTCTGTGGTCACCACCTGCAGAACCACTCCTTTATTGGGGGTGTCTTGCTAATTACCTATAATTTCCACCTGTTGTCTATTCCATTTTCACAACAGCATGTGACATTTATTGTCAATCAGTGTTGCTTCCTAAGTGGACAGTTTGATTTCACAGAAGTGTGATTGACTTGGAGTTACATTGTGTTGTTTAAGTGTTCCCTTTATTTTTTTGAGCAGTGTACTTTTAGATAAATCATGTCTCCTTGGATTTGGCCAATGAGTAGGCAACATTTCTTTGTCCAGGGCTTTTTTTTTCATTTAAGGTTGGCAAGGTTGCAAATACTAAGTATAACTTAGCCAGGGTTTATGAGTGACTAGGGCCCCTGAACTTTTATCACAAAAAGGGAGGCAGCTTCCCAGATAAAGGTTGGGGTTAAAGCAAGTTAAGGAAATTCTAATCATGGCTCACTGCGTTTTCCTCCTTTTTAAGTAACTCCCCCTTGTTTTTGTTAATAGAGCAAAGTCGTCGAGATGACCTGGAAGCCTTGGGTCACATGTTCATGTACTTCCTCCGTGGGAGTCTACCGTGGCAAGGACTAAAGGTATGTGACGTCCTCTGAGATTTCACGCTGGTGCTGTGTTTGTAGCAACATACAGATGTTTTATGTGGGTCTTTGACAGGCTGATACACTGAAAGAACGATACCAGAAGATCGGCGACACAAAAAGAAACACTCCCGTTGAGGTTCTCTGTGAGAGCTTCCCAGGTACAGCCTGACTATTTCTCTCATCTAAATCTAATGCTGTTTTTCAATGCAACACTTTGTTGGGTTTTTTACAACAATTTGATCATGGTAATTTAGCCACATGTAAGCGAGGAGTGCTTTTGGCGCCCCTTGACTACACTTCAGGATGTTGTATTGTTCCTCACATTACACGTTCAAATCTACATCTGCAATTGGTGTTTGCTGTTACAGAAGAGATGGCCACCTATTTACGCTACGTGAGGCGGTTGGATTTCTTTGAAAAGCCTGATTACGAATACCTGAGGACCCTGTTCACAGAGCTGTTTGAACGGAAAGGATACACCTTCGATTACACCTACGACTGGGTCGGCAGGCAGATAGTATGTAACGCCACTCACTGGCTAATATTGGGGGGAAAACATAGAGCAGGCCTAAGTATTTTAGCTACAATATAACATTGGTTTACTCTTGTACCCCATAGCCAACACCAGTAGGGACTGTCAACATGGACTCTGGGGCTTCTGCCATCACCAGAGAGAGCCACCCACACAGAGAACGGCCCTCGCAGCACCAACCCATGAGGAATCAGGTAAACTGAACTTGCTCTGAAGAGCCCTGATCCACACTGATGGTCCACACTGTGCCCTAACCACAGTATTTTTCAATTAAGGCTCAAGGATCATAACGGCTGCTACATTACCCCTTTAGTTACAATGCCCCCAGCCTCTGGAATTGCCTGCCAGAGAACCTGAGGGGGTTCGAAACTGTGGACATATTTCAAAGGGATCTTAAAACGCATTTAACTCTGCTTTTCCTTAGGGTGCTTTTTAGTCTTTCAGTTTTTATTGTTTTGTTTTTTTATCCTCTGTGTAGTAAATATTTCAGTTGTAATTTCATTTTTGGTTAGTCTTTTTTTCCTGGGAATTTCATTGCGTTGCATCCCTGTCTATATAAATAAAGCTTGATTTGATTAGCCTACATCTTCCAACACTGACCCCCTCCTCCTCCTACTTACTGAGGAGCAAGTTTTAGAATCTGTGGTGGGGGTGAGTTTACAGAGTGGGTCCCTTGGGTGTGGTGGGGAGGCACCACAGCAGCTCCAGGCCATAACCCACTGAGTCAGACTCATCATTCTTACTCTGTTAAATAAACAATGGTGGTTGGATCCCACAGCTGCCACCAACTGTGAATCTTATTAAGCCTGCAAGACTCCGGAGCTTATTAAGCCTGCTAGACTCCGGAGCTTATTAAGCCTGCTAGACTCCGGAGCTTATTAAGCCTGCTAGACTCCGGAGCTTATTAAGCCTGCTAGACTCCGGAGCTTATTAAGCCTGCTAGACTCCGGAGCTTATTAAGCCTGTTAGACTGCGGAGCTTGCTTGATGCACGTAATGGCAAAGATGCATGTGTATAAATCTTCTGGCGTTTAAAGGAGCAGTAAAGGTATGTCTGGGATAAAACTTTTTTGTATTTCCTGGTTCAAAATGTTATGTAGAATTGTGTTTTCTTACGAAAGTAAGTTGATATGCTACCTTTATTTGCCAGTGCACAGTGGTTTTGTACATGTCATAAAGGAACCCTTTTGACAAGCATTTGATTTATAAGGGGCTACCTTAACCTTTTGCACATGCCACCTCTGCATGCATTCCTCAACACAGGCCAAATACCAGGGAGAGCAACCAGGCTTTGAGGAAGTTAACAATAACCTCACCACAGTCACATCACAATGGGAAATCTCAGTCTGAACCTAGCTCACACACTGAATGTTGCTAGTTAATATGCAGACACTCGTAGAATTCTTACTCTGTTAAATAAACAGCCAAAAGAGACCTATTCATGTGTTCCAGTCCCGTTGATTGTATCCTTTATGTAGTCAACTGCCCTGTGTGTATTCTGTAGTGTGATGACTGGTTCACTCAGGGCCAAATCCCAACTTGTGAAGCGCACGCCTTACTCGAACTTCGTTTTGTGTATATCACCCATTGATTTAAATGGGGGAGATTCAAGCAAATGTTTGAGTGGAATGTGCGTATCGCCAAGTTAGTATCCGGCCCTCGGTCACTAAGGCAGTTTCCTGCTTCGCCTTTTTTTATTCATCTCTGCTTTTTTCTTTTTTTTTCTTTCCTTTCTCCTGCCGCTTTGCATGACACCTGGTCTGGCCCCGCCCCCACACACGCTTAAACCCCGCCCCCACCCTCACTCCCCTTCCCCTCCATCACCACCATAACTCCCTGAGCAGACGGCAGCTTCCGACCGGAGGGGAGCATGGGAAGTGCAGCCCAGTCGGACAAACTCCTCCTACATGGCCTCCCACCTGGCATCGGACAGGCACGGGGGCTCAGTGCAGGTACACAACTACAACTCCACACTGACCCATCAGTCGATTGTCCACTTCCCCTCCGATCCCAACCCGCCTTCCTTCCCCTGTTTCCTCACATGGTGTGCCACGGTCCACCACAAGTATGTCAATGGCATACGTTACTCATCATTGGCATACTTGAGTTAGGAGGTGTGTGTGTGTGAGGGTGCTAGAGATTTGGTGTGTATCTGTGTGTGCTCACATCTTTTGTCTTCCAGCCCTTGGTCTTCTTTCCCTGTGTTTTTGGAAAGGCAAGCTTCATAACAGGTCATGACTGGTTATGACAAACTAATCTGGAGGCGAAAGAAACGCACACCTGTTTAGGAGAGGTGCTGGCTAGCGGAGTAGAACACCTGTTTAGGAGAGGTGCTGGCTAGCGGAGTAGAACACCTGTTTAGGACAGGTGCTGGCTAGCGGAGTAGAACACCTGTTTAGGAGAGGTGCTGGCTAGCGGAGTAGAACACCTGTTTAGGACAGGTGCTGGCTAGCGGAGTAGAACACCTGTTTAGGAGAGGTGCTGGCTAGCGGAGTAGAACACCTGTTTAGGAGAGGTGCTGGCTAGCGGAGTAGAACACCTGTTTAGGAGAGGTGCTGGCTAGCGGAGTAGAACACCTGTTTAGGACAGGTGCTGGCTAGCGGAGTAGAACACCTGTTTAGGAGAGGTGCTGGCTAGCGGAGTAGAACACCTGTTTAGGACAGGTGCTGGCTAGCGGAGTAGAACACCTGTTTAGGAGAGGTGCTGGCTAGCGGAGTAGAACACCTGTTTAGGAGAGGTGCTGGCTAGCGGAGTAGAACACCTGTTTAGGAGAGGTGCTGGCTAGCGGAGTAGAACACCTGTTTAGGAGAGGTGCTGGCTAGCGGAGTAGAACACCTGGTTAGGAGAGGTGCTGGCTAGCGGAGTAGAACACTTGAAAAAGAAAAGGAGAGCCACACACTAGGAGGTCAGATGTTATAATTGAATAACCTAATAACCACGACAAACTAACATTATACAACCAGGTTGATCCTTGTTGTGTTGGGTGCAGTGATGAGTTGACTTGGTTTAGCAATGTTTTTTTTGTTTATATATATTTGTTTACTTTTTACCTATTTTTTTTCTCCCCAATTGCATGATATCCAATTGGTAGTTAGTCTTGTCCCATCGCTGCAACTCCTGTACGGACTCGGGAGAGGTGAAGGTCGAGAGCCATACGTCCTCCGAAACACGACCCTGCCAAGCCGCACTGCTTCTTGACACACTGCTCGCTTAACCCGGAAGCCAGCCGCACCAATGTGTCGGAGGAAACACTGTACAACTGGCGACCGTGTCAGCGTGCATGCTCCCGGCCCGCCACAGGTGTCGCTACAGCGCGATGGGAGAAGGACATCCAAGCCGGCCAAACCCTCCCCTAAACCGGGCGACGCTGGGCCAATTGTGCGTCGCCTCATGGGTCTCCCGGATTGAACCCGGATCTGTAATGACCCCTCAAGCACTGCAGTACCTTAGAACGCTGCTCCACTCGGAAGGCCTAGCAATGCATGTTTTTTGATTAAATAAAACCTAAAGAGGGTAAATCATCATCAAATAATGCCCCTGTGTGTGGGACTCTGACTGTCATACGTTGTGCCCTTCCTTTAATTCATTGTAGGGCTTCAATATAGTGTGATTTAATGTCTGGTCTAATACATTTATGATGCACCTTTTACTCACACCTCTTGATAAATATTCGGAGAGGTTAATTTAAGATCGTAGAGTATTTATTTCTTCAAAATGTGAAAAGCTAAAACTGCTTGACAAAGCTTGATAAGATTTTGTTACAGAACACAATAGATGGTATTACTTGCCGTATACGTCACAGGTGTGTGTGTGTCATGTACTGGCTCTGTGTTTGAGGGTTGAAGTTGTGTTTTTATGAATGAGCTGAATATGTGGAAACGGTCAGTGACTCCACCTGAATCAACCCTCTCTCCGTGTGCCACAGGTGGTCAGTTCAACCAATGGGGAGCTGAATGCCGATGACCCTCTGGCAGCCCACTCCAATGCACCAATCACAGTCCAGGCCGAGGTGGAGGTGGTGGATGAGGCCAAGTATGTATCAGCTCATATTCCCCCTTTAACCTTTTCAATTTCTTTCTCCAACTCTACTCCCTCTGCTTTCCTCTCCTCCTCAACTCTTACTCTCATTCTTCTGCTCTTTCCTCCACCCTCTGGATCTCTCTCTCTCTACCTCCTCTACCTCCTTCCCTCTGTCTCACCCTCCATCTCACACATACATCCCTTGTCTGTCTTGATCTCTCGGTCTCTCTACCTCCTTCCCCCTCTCTTTCACCCCCCCTCTCTCGCTCTCTCTCCCTCCCCCCTCTCTCTCCACCCTCTTTCTTTCTCACATACATCCCTTGTCTGTCTTGATCTCTATCTCTCTACTTCCTTCCCCCTCTCTCACCCCCCCTCTCTTTCTCCACCCTCTTTCTCACACACATACATCCCTTGTCTGTCTTGATCTCTCGCTCTACCTCCTTCCCCCTCTCTCGCGCTCTCTCCCTCCCCCCTCTCTCTCCACCCTCTTTCTTTCTCACATACATCCCTTGTCTCTCACTGACTCACTCACACACACACACACACACACACATCCAGTTGAAGTCGGAAGTTTACATACACTTAGGTTGGAGTCATTAAAACTTGTTTTTCAACCACTCTACACATTTCTTGTTAACAAACTATAGTTTTGGCAAGTCGGTTAGGACATACGTAATTTTTCCAACAATTGTTTACAGACATATTATTTCACTTATAATTCACTGTATCACAATTCCAGTGGGTCAGAAGTTTACATACACTAAGTTGACTGTGTCTTTAAACAGCTTGGAAAATTCCAGAAAATTGTCATGGCTTTAGAAGCTTCTGATAGGCTAATTGACATCATTTGAGTCAATTGGAGGTGTACCTGTGGATGTATTTCAAGGCCTACCTTCAAACTCAGTGCCTCTTTGCTTGACATCATGGGAAAATCAAAATAAATCAGCAAAGACATCAGGAAAAACAATTGTAGACCTCCACAAGTCTGGTTCATCCTTGGGAGCAATTTCCAAACGCCTGAAGGTACCACGTTCATCTGTACAAACAATAGTACGCAAGTATAAACACCATGGGACTATGCAGCCGTCATACCACTCAGGAAGGAGACGCGTTCTGTCTCCTAGAGATTAACGTACTTTGGTTCGAAAAGTGCAAATCAATCCCAGAACAACAGCAAAGGACCTTGTGAAGATGCTGGAGGAAACGGGTACAAAAGTATCTATATCCACAGCAAAACAAGTCCTATATCGATATAACCTGAAAGCTCATCAAGTAAGAAGCCACTGCTCCAAAACCGCCATAAAAAAGGCAGACTACGGTTTGCAACTGCACATGGGGTCAAAGATCGTACTTTTTGGAGAAATGTACTCTGGTCTGATTAAACAAAAATGGAACAGTTTGGCCATAATGACCATCGTTATGTTTGGAGGAAAAGGGGGGGGGGCTTGCAAGCTGAAGAACACCATCCCAACCGTGAAGCACGGGGGTGGCAGCATCATGCTGTGGGGGTGCTTTGCTGCAGGAGGGACTGGTGCACTTCACAAAATAGTTGACATCATGAGGAAGGAAAATTATGTGGATATATTGAAGCAACATCTCAAGACATCAGTCAGGAAGTTAAAGCTTGGTCGCAAATGGGTCTTCCAAATGGATAATGACCCCAAGCATACTTCCAAAGTTGTGGCAAAATGGCTTAAGGACAACAAAGTCAAGGTATGGGAGTGGCCATCACAAAGCCCTGTCCTCAATCCTATAGAACATTTGTGGGCAGAACTGAAAAAGCATGTGCGAGCAAGGAGGCCTACAAACCTGACTCAGTTACACCAGCTCTGTCAGGAGGAGTGGGCCAAAATTCACCCAACTTATTGTGGAAAGCTACCCGAAACGTTTGAACCAAGTTAAACAATGTAAAGGCAATGCTACCATATACTAATTGAGTGTATGTAAACTTCTGACCCACTGGGAATGTGATGAAAGAAATAAAAGCTGAAATAAATCATTCTCTCTACTATTATTCTGACATTTCACATTCTTAAAATAAAGTGGTGATCCTAACTGACCCTAAGACAGGGAATTTTTACTAGGATTAAATGTCAGGAATTGTGAAAAACTGAGTTTAAATGAATTTGGCTAAGGTGTATGTAAACTTCCGACTTCAACTGTACATCCCTTGTCTGTCTTGATCTCTCTCTCACCCCCCTCTCTCTCTCCACCCACTTTCTCTCTCACATACATCCCTTGTCTGTCTTGTTCATTCTCTCTCTCTCTTTCTCTCTCAGGTCTCTCCCTACACTGTCCCCTCTCTGTGTTGCTTCCTGATTGTGTACTTTCTAAGCCTGTGTCCTGCGTGTCCCTATTACAATCCTTTGTTTTGTTAAGGTTGGGACTGCTCCTTATCCCCCCCCCCATCAGATGTCCTCTCACTTCTCCTAGGCTCAGTGCAGCAAGAGAAGAACAAAATAAAACTACTATAATGCAATGAGCTTATCAAAACTCAATGCATATCATGTAATATCATCTCTAGGATTACCCTAAATTAGATACACCTACTAGTCAGTAATTGTGGATGAAATCCCTGTAACATACCCAGCATAGTGAATGCCAACATTGAGTGTGTTGTCCTTCGATATAATCTAATCCCCCAGTGTCTGTTGTCCCCCACCTCAGTTAGATTCAGTCACACTGTGCATGTATCCCTGGCCAGCCCTCGGAGCCTGGTTCCTCTCGAGGTTTCTTCCCAGGTTCCTGCATTTCTAGAGTTTTTCCTAGCCACTGTGCTTCTACATCTGCATTGCTTGCTCTCTGGTGTTTTAGGCTGTGTTTCTGCATAAGCACTTTGTGACAACTGCTGATGTAAAAAGGGCTTTATAAAACACGTTTGAAATTGTTAGGTGATTGGTTTGTCTCCCGCTTGTTCATTCACATACCCTTTTGATAGGAGGTTTTCCGCTGGCCCTTTGATTTTCCCATCATCAACAGACTTCCTCTTTGATATGATCCCACTGTGTTGAAAGCCAGGGCCCCAGAAGACAGAGTTCAATTAATGTGACAACAGGGTTTCCATAGCAATGTGGCATAAAGCTCTGTTTTTTGCTCGTTGTTTCTCTCTCTCTCCCCCTCCCTCGCTCTCTCGCTCTCTGGTAATCCTTTCTACATCCGCTCCGAAAGGATTTTGGAAGTATCGCTCGTGGTAATGAGCGTCCATGATACAGTATGTTGAAATGGAGTGAGATTAAGATTATACATCAGTTGAATAGTGTACTTAGAACTCGTTAGAACTAAACAGGTGTAGTTAGCTCTGGAACCAAAGAGTCAGAGCCATTGAGTCTTCAATCTTTGACCTTTTGAACCCTGCCCTCTGTCTCCACCTGTCTTGTGTGTGTGTGTGTGTGTGTGTGTGTGTGTGTGTGGCATGGTCTGTCCCATTGACTGCTGTATTAATCTTGTCTTTTCTCTCTACACTCTTTCTTCTCTGTAGCTGCGTGAAAATGCTCAACCTGTGGTGAGTCCCTCTCTCCTAGTCCATACCATACCCATGGGACAGGACAGGGAGTGGACCAGCCGAGGCTGCTGGGCCCAGTGGAGTTCACTAGTGTAGTTGACTAGTACACACTGTGAAGGGACCCTGCTCTTACACTGGGCAAAACTGATTAAAAACAGTGCTCGATATGTCCACTACTGATATAGGCCAGTGGGTTATAAAAGCCTTTTCAGACACTATCTTCTCACTGATACTGATGCTACAGATCAGCTGAATGGGTTGTGGGCTAGGTGATATCTGATTATATCTACTAATCATTCTTTAAATAACACTGTGCTTTTCATACATTGACTTTAATATAGGCTATTGAGTACTTTCTTTTTAGAAAGTCTTTGTCCTGAAATTTTATTTTAAAAGTAAATTATTTGGAAATGCTGTCAATTCCTTTTTTTCTGTTATGTTTTTATTCACCATGGAGGGAGCCATAAATATCTTCTAAAACCTACTAACTAGCAGGGTACCTTAAATATTGACTAAACCTGCTACTAGAGATCGTGGTTCGAATCCAGGCTCTGTCGTAGCTGGCCGTGACCGGGAGACCCATGGGGAGGCGCACAATTGGCCCAGCGTCGTCCAGGGTAGGGGAAGGAATGGCCGGCAGGGATGTAGCTCAGTTGGTAGAGCATGGCGTTTGCAATGACAGGGTTGTGGGTTCGATTCCCACGGGGGGCCAGTATGAATAATAAAAAAAATAATGTATGCACTCACTAACTGTAAGTCGCTCTGGAGAAGAGCGTCTGCTAAATGACTAAAATGTAAATGTAATTATTGACTAAAACATACTAGCAAGCAGGGCACCTTAAATATAGACTAAAACCTGCTAGCTAGCAGGGCACCTTTAAATATAGACTAAAACCTGCTAGCTAGCAGGGCAACTTTTAAATACAGACTAAAACCTGCTAGCTAGCAGGGCACCTTTTAAATATAGACTAAAACCTGCTAGCTAGCAGGGCACCTTTAAATATAGACTAAAACCTGCTAGCTAGCAGGGCACCTTTAAATATAGACTAAAACCTGCTAGCTAGCAGGGCACCTTTTAAATATAGACTAAAACCTGCTAGCTAGCAGGGCACCTTTTAAATATTGACTAAAACCTACTAGCTAGCAGGGCACCTTTTTAATATCTACTAAAATCTACTAGCAGGGCACCTGAGAATAGCAAATCACTTCCTTAGGGTTCATCTCAACGCTGTGCCTTTAAAAATAAATCAAAGTTTTTTCTTTGTAGCCAGTCACTGTGTTGTGTGTGTGTAGAGCTGACCTCTGGTCAGTCACTGCATGCTGTAATAGTCATCCCATTAGGCTCTGTCCTGTGCTCTGTGTCTCCACCACTGTTGTTTATCACACCACTGTACTAAACACACTGGTCCTTTTACCTCAGACGCCCTCTGTAGGTTCTTCTTAGAACTGTTTTGACTCCACACTGTTGGGGATCTTGGCATAGTGTGTGTGTTTTACTTCTACCATCACGGTAGTTCGTATTTCTTCTCATGCCCCGAGTCAGTCTCTTCATGTTGATTCTACTCCTTGAGATGTTCTGATGTTGGTTACAAGGAACGGATCTAACAAATTAACATCTCATGGCATCCAAAATATGTGTACACTGACGGTCATTGGCTGCCTTTACACAGGTAGCCCAATTCTGATATTTTGCCACTAATTGATCTTTTGACCAATCAGATCAGATATTTTGCCAATAATTGGTCAAAAGATCAGAATTGGGCTGCCTGTGTCAACACAGCTATTGTGTAACATATAATTTCTCCTCTTGTCCTCTAGCTGTTTAAATGAAATTACCTCACACTTTAACAACTTACCAGGGTGGTGTTCATTAGGGCGCAAGTCTAGGTTAGTCCCTTCACTGGTTTAGTCAGTTTTCTTCCGTTTGGTGCCTAATGAACACGACCCAGTCATAGTATGCAGTGTTGGCTTGCCTCTAACCAGTCTCTTTCCACGTCTACAGGTGCTGCTGCTTCTTCAAACGAAAACGGAAGAAGAACACCCCGCGACACAAATGATCAGCGGCACGCCTGGATCGCTCAAAAGTCTTGCTCGATAAGGTTGTGAATCGAGAACATCAATAAAGTCCCATTCAGACCAACGAAGAAGACCACGGGAGAGTGATGAGAGGCGATGTGAACACACACAGACAAGTGTGGCTGTCTGTCGATGGGAATTCCTTTAGAATTTTGTTGTTTTTCCTCCACGATGCTTGGGAATATTTGTCGGGCCCCGTTGTTGCCGGGATTGGGATCTTGGCTTTTGCAATTAGTTTAAGCTTGATTGATGGGCTGGACAATGGAAACACAACGGACTGTCTCTCAGCCTCTTGCTCTTTCATAAACACACACTGAATGTATGGGCGGAAAGATAAATGTCTATGGGAGAATAAAGAAGATGGGACAAGTCCTGGGAGAGGAAAGCTTGTTGGCTACTGACTGACTACATGTAAATAATGGACCAATATCAGTTGGAACTGCCACACCTCTATAAACGGTTTGGACTTCAGTGTAACAATGTCCACATGGTAGCAACCTAGTGGTGTTTCCTCTACACTGCACACTAAGGAGAGAAGAGAGGGAGATGGTGGCTTAAGGGTTGTCTACTGCTACTGTCCAATGCCTTAACCAAACCAGTACCCAACAGAGCCAGGAGAGGGTGACGCAGGAGGCCAGGCTCTCCGTACTGAGAGGATATCTATGGTCCCCTGCTTAATGTAATGATGTAACATACCACCCACCCAATGTGGAGTTCAGTTCCCCACTGGTGGTACAGTATCTATAGAATAGGTGGTTCAGAGATAATGTTGACTAGGGGCAACAGTTTAGGGTTCATTTGGTTGTTTGTCAGTGAACTGTCATGTAAAATTCAGTGCCATGTCAGCTTTGTGCGTTCGATCTCTATCTGCAATGTTCATAACGTTGCAACACACTGTGTAAGCCCCTGGTCTCGTAGAATGATCTCATGTTCTGTCGTTGAGGGAATGCTCTTTCACATTTTCTGCCCCTCTGTTTCCAGTGTATTTGCCCTGTGCTGCAAAGCATCATCTGTGAGACTATTGATGATGATTGATCCCAAATGCCAAGTCCCCAAAAGTCCCAAATGGAAAACCTGGGATTGCCTCATAGGGATATTGAAAAGTACCTGGTGAAAATCTGTGTATATGGTTATTTTATTTTATTCAATATTGCTTTTTGTTTTTCCTTGCAAGTGACATGGAGGATTGCCTTGAACAAACACACTCGACGTCGACACTGTCACCTTGCCTATCCTCTCCACAGCATTAATTCCATAGGAGTGACATTTGGGTTTTATGTAATTATGTCCATTTTTTATTTTATTTTTTAAATATATAGCTAATGTGAATTTCAAATGTGAGCAAATGTATTTTTCTGTTTCAAATAGCCATGAAGTATGTGGACCGGACAGAGGGGGACAAAAAGCTAGAGTTTTGACTGCACTACATTTGTTGACCCACTGATGTTGACCTAATACCTTGCTTTCCCCGTACTGTATTGATTGATGTGCTTACTATACTTAATTGTAGCGGCCTTCTGTGCTAGGTCTGTTCTTACATACACTTAACCAATTCCGGCATTAACCCCCCCCCCCCCCCCCCCTTTAACCCCCGTGCCATGACGTGTGTAAACCCACACAGACATACACACCCTAGACATTTAATGTATGATGTGATGTCACCTCCTGGTGGGGTGCTGGATGCTGATGTCCTGTTGACCATGGTTGTGTTCAGTAGGGCACACTGTTGCCAAACGTTTTGCAACTGTAATCAAAAAAAGCTGTGTTATTGTACTAGGTCAGGTAGTACCTCTCCGTTTGGGAAACGTTTTTCTCCCTGCTGAACATGACCCAGGTTGGTCGTCCCATATGGAGGCACAATGCCTGAGGGGATGCCAACCGGCTCAACAGACCTCTATGAGCAGGCATGCTTGTATGTGCATAATTATATTGTATATTCTTTCTTTTTATGTTTTTTTCCCCCGTTGTGACTTGAGCTAGTTCCTCTGGGGTCTAAGTTATTGTGTTGAGAATACTTGAATGTGATAAATCTATTGGACTTCTTCTGTTGTCTTTTCCGTTTTATAGGTCAGTACGTTATTCCTCTGAGATGGCTTTGAGGGCATAACTGGTGAGGAAAAGGCTTTTTGAATGACCGGTATTCCTCATAGTGCCTCTTGACTGGGTGTTTGAGGGAGGGAGTTGGCATTGCGGTCTAGCTTGCCTCTGTTGGATGTCTGTGGGTGACTGGTTTAGCCTAGGGTTGGATTGGCACTCCGTCATTCAGGGACATCAGTAACTGCTGCACAACAGGGTCTAGAGTTCAGATCAAGTATGTCAGCAGAATGGCTCCACCTGCTGGGTGTATGTAGGCTTTTCTGTCAGACTTCAAACCAGTGTTGCTCAGCCCAGCACTGACACCTCATTCAGCCAATCACCAAATCCTTGAATATTGGAATCATTGCGTGTTAGTGCAGGGCTAGAACAAGAATGTGCATCCTCTGGGTGTCTCCTGGGGATGTATTGATAAACACTACTTTTAATAGACTAGCCATCACAGTTATACTGTGACATACCAGTTCACTTTGAAAGTATAAAGTATTGTTGAATCTAGTGAGACAGACATCCAGAGAATGGCCTTGAATGGTCCTTCTGTTCCTAATGCCGTCCTACTGACTACTATCCACCGCCTTCACCAGTGCCAGGAAAATGTCAACTGCAACTCTGATCGAATTCCACCTCGTGCCCCACTGCCATTTTATATATTTTTCACCCACCTGTAATGTTGAAAGAGACCGTTGAGGTTTGAAACTAGCGATTTAAAGTCCTATATTGTGTTCTTGAGGTGGCTGAGAGTAATAACATAATTTGAAACATAATTATTGAACCACTTGTCAATTAATCATTTTTTAAAATTAACTTTCACTCCTCAACCATATATTTCCATTTCAGTCGACCATTTTATTTTGGAGTGGAACGTCACTTTGTATACTTTGATACATCTGTATCCTACCGTCAACAGTGGTCTTAATGCAGGTGTTGTATCACTGTTTAAATTCATTTCCTTCCTGCAATTTTGGCTTTAACAGCTGATAGACATTTTTACATTTACATTTATATCATTTAGCAGACGCTCTTATCCAGAGCGACTTACAAATTATGAGTACTACAAATTGATATGTGCATTCTAGTTTCCTCAAGACTTGCCTTTCCACAGCCTGTCTAGAATGAGGAATATTTGCTGTATTGTGTATTTGCATGGCTTATCTGGAGCAGATGTCTACCTGTTAAATGGCAAGGCTTCCTGGAGTGGACGTATGAAGCTAAGCACCCGTACAAAGTTATTCTCTCTGGTCAAAATCGAGCTCTAATAAGGCCTCCCATTTGTTTGACTTGATAAGTCCTCCCCAGAGCACATTCCAATTTCAGTTGTCATTCCTTATACAGTACTACTACACCTTGCCTGTCAGTCAGAGCTCATTGCTTTCAATTGACTTCAGTGTCTTGTGTTGTTCATCATTTTATTTCCTGCATGTGTCAAAATGGCATGTAAATCCTTATAGCAGCATAGAGGAAAATGAATGGAAAGAGATGACTGGTCTTTTTTGGGGGGTTCTCTGGCACTTTCTTCCTGTCGCTGTACTGTAGAGTTGTCTTGGGTTGGCTGTATAATATGTCTGGTGTGACACATGACTGCAATGTTTTAATTATTTTACATTTTACATTCACCATTATAGTTTTTTGTCAGTTGGATTATTTTAAAGAAAATAAAGACGTTTTTCTTTCAAACTGTGGAAAGTAGAATTGTACAGTACCACGAGTTTATCCCCCTACTCTTGCTCTGGCAATTGTTTTCAAAGCTATGATTTAAGAAATTAATCCTACAACTGTATTATGAAAATTATTGTGTTGAAATATGAATGTTACTTCAAATGTATTTGAATGGTTTAACCTAGTTAAGGGCTTCATGAATGAAGGACCCATCTTTTGATTTCTTTATTTTATTATAATTTAATTTTTTTAAGTACAGAAAGATAAATGACCAGACTCTTTATCTTAAAGGCCTATTTTCCTGGGGATTCGTGTGAGACGTCACATATATCCTTACAAATTCACTTTTTATTCCCTCCACGCTTAAAGGGGAAACTCAAGTTTGCACCCTTTTTTAAAAATGTAAAACAAATAAAAAAATCTCTCTTAACCTTTTCTTGTGAGTATGGGTCGGTTTTTGTTCCAGGGCATTCCAGTACACAGTGTCACATTTACATTCTAATGAGCCATCTTAGAATTGCTGAGAAAGCATGTCACCCATGGAAAATTCTATTTTTATGGTCATACCATCCTCTCAGGTCACATTCAACCAATGGGAGAATCTCAATTGGATACTCCTTGCATCCTCTATCCTCGCCTCCTCAAAACCCATTGGATGAGAAAGCCAGAGGTCCCCCCCCCCCCCCCCCCCCCCCCCCCTCTGACTTTCTCCAATGGCGTTTGAGAAGGAGGCAGAGAAAGTGGTCTAGGAGTATGCAATTGAATCTCCCCTATGACTTTTCCCTGCTAGGCTGCAGCTGCACTGCTTCTTGGGCCCATACCCTTGATCATACATTACTACTAAGTTGTATAATTTAATACTATACACTTTTGCAACAGTTCCTGTAATGTCATGCTATGTAGACCTACACGTGAGAAAACAGCCTTATGTGTGATGCACCTAATTATCAAGGGTAGACAAAATGCTGAACATAATGTATAGCCTACTTCTTCCACACCAATAAGAATACATTGTTACACTGGATCAGTACATTTTGTATGAAATTCAATGCACAAAATGTTTTTAGTGTGTCGAAGGTAGCCATCAACCAGTAGTGGGCAGTGTTGCAAAGCTACGAAAACAAATGTCTGCAGTATTTTCTTCCTGCTTCGCAAATAAATTTCCGGTCACAACCTCCCCAGTTCTTTTCCGCCAGCCCAAGCCAACATGGTGGGTATTTGACAAAATTGAATACATCACAATCTGTTTCAATCCTTGTCTCTTATCAGTTCCAAACACGTCTACAAACATGTCAAATGTTAATTAAAATACGACACATTTTCACAAATATTTATTTGGGATTTGTTGCATTTTATTTACCAGTTTCTTGTGTCGTTTCTCTAGCTATGTTGTGAATGTAGCCAGCTAGCTTACCCGTAGCTAGCACAAGATCTTTCAATCTAGTCTGCTACACTGGTCTGCTAGCGAGCTGACCACTATCTATATAAACTAGCGGGCTAGTTGCATTTACGGGTCGTGTAGTAAGTAGTTCAGCTGTCTAGCGTCTGGTAAGAATGACTTGTTAGCTGGATATAGCTATGGTTGTTTAGCTAGTTATGTTATTAGCTAACTAGCTGCTTACCTAGCTATCTTGCCATCCATACCAGTGTAGTTAACTAAAGTTATTTTATATCTTCTGGTCAATCGTCTTGTGGTGGTCTGCTAGCCAGCCAGGAATTAATGGTTGATGTAAAAGTTACTTGTCACTCAAGGAGTTCTAGCTAGCTATCTACGGTCAAGACGAAACAGTTGGCACTATGCATCTAGCTAGCTATGCATATTCTGTTTAATATTGTTCCAGGAGTTGTGCTTGCAGGGCTAGTTTGCATTAAGCTACCAGTTGTCAGTGGTTAAAACAATTCCAAGTGAACATGAAGAATTGCAGTGATGTTGTGTAGTAGTTACAGATATGTGAGTGAATGTTAGCAATTAAAGGTATTGTCTCAAGAAACTGGTGTGGTTCTGTCATTAACAAGCTGATGATCTTCCCAACAGGGACGAGTCAGGACAAAGACGGTGAAAAAGGCCGCCAGGGTCATCATTGAGAAGTACTACACCCGGCTGGGCAGTGACTTCCACGTCAACAAGAGGGTGTGTGAGGAGATAGCCATCATCCCCAGCAAGAAGCTGCGCAACAAGATCTCTGGGTGAGTGAATGCTCCGATACAAGCTTGTGTCACTTTCAGGCTTCAGACCACCAATGCCACTTTCACATGATCATGCCGACCCAAATCATACTGTGCTCCCTCAGATATTTTCTAACACATTGTAGTTTCCAGCACGGTTCCAGCATCTGTGGCGTGTCTGTAACCAGGCCAGTGCAGTACAGCTAGGCTCAGTACTTTTAGAAGGGTGCAAGTCTGACCAAATGAAGGCTTACTATCTTGTGGCTTCAAGGAGCTTGTGTTGCAGGCTGCTTAGCTCCACGTCCAACAGCCTTGTCTTAAAACAGGGGCCTTTTTTGCTTTGGCTTACAGACAGAATAATGTAGAGAAAGGGTAGACCTACGTCTAGCAGCTGCTATTCTTGGTTCAGTTGGTTGGAGCTGGAGCATGACGCTGGCAATGTCAAGGTTGTGGATTCAGTTCCTGCATGGATATCTTATTCATAATATGATTGTGGTGAACTGCTTTGAAGAACTCTTTGTAATAGATGTGTTGTGTTCCTGTATGTTTGTGCACATCTGTTTTTCAGTTGTTTTAAGATGTTATAAGAACAGTGCTATTATTTGAAGGAATACTATTGGCTCAGTAGTTGAACACTTGTGCTCAGTTCATTCTCAATGATAGTTGACCTCTAGTCTCCATGTCGAAGTCAGAGATATTTGGCCTGACTGTAGACAAGTGGTGTTGCAATATTGGGCTTGTTGCACGTTTAATAATTGTCTGATCCCAATGTAGGTTATTTGCTTCCTGAGCCATCATGCAGAAATTGGCCTTTTTCTTGTTGCAAATATACAAGTAGGTAAAAGCCTTTCTGATTGAAGTCCTATTATGATTATCTGAGTGTTTGTGGCGTTGTTTTGTTTGTTTTTCTCAAATGAACCCAGCCTGCTTCTGGGGTGAGGTTGTCTTGGTAACGTGAGGCCCTGTTCCTCATTCATCATCTGCTTGAGAACTGTCCCTGTACAGTAGGTGTAGGCCTAGTTGTTCTTGACCATAGTCCGTGATCTTTGCCACTTACCAATAAAAGGGATTGGAAAGAGACGCTCAAATTGTAGTGTCTGTTGGTGCGCGCTTGGGCTGTGTTTAGACAGGCAGCCCAATTCTGATCATTTTGCCACTAATTGGTCTTTTGACCAATCACATCAGATCGTTTCACGTCAGATATTTTTCAAAGCTGGTCTGATTGGTCAAAAGACCAATTGGTGGACAAAAAAAGATCAGAATTGGGCTGCCTGTCTAAACACAGCCTTAGCCTTTTCTCAGTGACTTGTATAGAACAGGGAAACAAACTAGTGGAGGGTCCCGTGTAGCTCAGTTGGTAGAGCATGGCGCTTGCAACGCCAGGGTTGTGGGTTCGATTCCCACGGGGGACCATGCACTCACTAACTGTAAGTCGCTCTGGTTAAGAGCGTCTGCTAAATGACTAAAATGTAAATGTATACAAATCCAGCTGTCTGTGACCCCAAGCAGCGGAGCTATGTGAGGCACTGTTGAAATTCCCCCTCTTTAGCTCAAGTCAGTTAATTGTCATAGAGTTAAAGAATACAATGTCAGTTAACCGCTGCAAGGCCTCCCTGTCTAATCAAACATCATGAAACATGTTCAGGTTGTTTTACGGACTCGATCTTAGTTATGTCACTCGTCTGTCATGTCTCTCCTCTTAGAGAAGACCTCTAGAATGACACCATTTATTCCCCCACAACCTTTTCCCTCTCACTCACTCATCCCCATGGTGCTGGCACATGAGGCAGCACCACTACTTCTCAAACTACTAGCACCCAAAATCAATGGTGGGGCAGTCTTACCTTAGCCGCCCACTGTGGGTGCAGGCTGTTGCTACAGCCAAGCAGTGACACACCTGCTTCTACCAATCGGAAACCTTGGTTGAAAACTATGATTAGGGGATTACTAGAATCAGGTTTCTTATTGTTTAGAAGGCCAGGATGTAAGAGAGCCCTAAATCCAAGCACTAGTTTACTGACCTCAGTCTACTCTATACTGCTCTGTTCTAAGTACCCATCTGTGTTCACCCCCAAGTGCTTATCTCTGTCGTTGTTGCACACAACCGACTGCAAAATCACCAGGAAATCAGCTCAGTGATTTTTTTTCATGTAGGAAATCTTTTCCCAAGTATTCCCACGCATAAATAGAGGCATATGTGAGCCCAAATCGCACTATATCGTCTGTGTAAAATACCCCTTTTGTGTTCTGTATTCTCCACTTATGTCCCATGTGTCCCTCAGGTATGTGACCCATCTGATGAAGCGTATCCAGAGGGGCCCTGTCAGAGGCATCTCCATCAAGCTGCAGGAGGAGGAGAGGGAGAGGAGGGACAACTACGTCCCAGAGGTCAGTGGGGTTCCTCAATCATTTACCTCTGAGCCATGCATTTAGAGAGTTGGGACGTTGAGGTTTCTGCATTATGATGCATTTACATGACACCACAACATTCAACGGCAGCCATGTTAGCCCCCGCTTTAATAAAATGACATGGGGGATGTTTAAACAATGCTATGGAACTGAATGTCTACAATTAGAACAGTTGGCCCAACTCTCTAAATACAGTGACTTTGGAAAGTACGTTACAGCCTTGTTCTAAAATGTATTTTAAAAAATGTACATCCCTTAGCAATCTACAGACAATACCCCATAATGACAAAGCGAAAACAGGTTTTTAGGAATGTTTGCAAATGTATTAAAAATAAAAAACAGATACCTTATTTACGTATGTATTCAGATCCTTTGCTATGAGATTCAAATTGAGCTCAGGTGCATCCTGTTTCCATTGATCATCCTTTAGATGTTTCTACAACTTGATTGGAGTCCACCTGTGGTAAATTCAATTGATTGGACATGATTTGGAATGCACACACCTGTCTATATAAGGTCCCACAGTTGACAGTGCATGTCAGAGCAAAAACCAAGCCATGAGGTCGAAGGAATTGTCGGTAGAGCTCTGAGACAGCATTGTGTCGAGGCACAGATTTGGGGAAGGGTACCAAAAAATGTCTGCAGCATTCAAGGTCCACAGTGGCCTCCATCATTCTTAAATGGAAGTAGTTTGGAACCACCAAGACTCTTCCTAGAGCTGGCCACCTGGCCAAACTGAGCAATCGGTGGAGAAGGGTCTTGGTCAGGGAAGTGACCAAGAACCTGATGGTCACTCTGACAGAGCTCTAGAGTTCCTCTGTGGAGATGGGAGAACCTTCCAGAAGGACAACCATCTCTGCAGCACTCCACCAATCAGGCCTTTATGGTAGAGTGGCCAGATGGAAGTCACTCTTCAGTAAAAGACACATGACAGCCCACTTGGTGTTTGCCAAAAGGCACCTAAAGACTCTCAGACCATGAGAAACAAGATTCTCTGGTCTGATGAAACCAAGATTAAACTCTTTGGCCTGAATGCCAAGCTTCACGTCTCGAGGAAACCTGGCACCATCCCTATGGTGAAGCATGGTGGTGGCAGCATCATGCTGTGGGGATGTTTTTCAGCAGCAGGGACTGGGAGACTAGTCAAGATTGAGGCAAATATGAACGGAGCAAAGTACAGAGAGATCCTTGATGAAAACCTGCTCCAGAGCGCTCAGGTCCTCAGACTGGGGCGAAGGTTCACCTTCCAACAGGACAACGACTCTAAGCACATAAATTAGCAAACATTTCTAAAAAACTGTTTTTGCTTTGTCATTATGGGGTATTGTGTGTAGATTGATGAGGGGGAAAAAACTATTTAATCAATTTTAGAATAAGGCAGTAATGTAACAAAATGTGGAAAAAGTCAAGGGGTCTGAATACTTTACGAAGGCACTGTATATGTCTCAGGTTTACCTTGCAGTTTGGTCCTTCATCTTGCATCAGATAACTTGAGAAATGTCCTTGCTGATTGTGATGATATCTATAAGGTTGTAATTTGGTGCATACCTGTATCGAAAGTGGCTGTGGCATGGTTGTTGCCAGGTCATTGATAATGCAGGAAGATAGAACTGACAGATTTTCCCTGTGTTTGTCGGGCTGTCTATCCCTCTCAAACCCTGTATCTTTCAGACACTCATCATACTCGGGTCTGTCTTGAGAACACTCACTACTGATAGGTTCCTATGAGATCCACTGTAAAGCTGATGGTCTTTGTTTGTGTCTGTAGGTGTCTGCTCTGGACCAGGAGATCATCGAGGTGGATCCCGACACCAAAGAGATGCTGAAGCTGCTGGTAAGTTCTAAACCTCACTTCTCAGATATCACTGCCTACCTACAGTCTTAGTCTAAACGTGACGTTTTCTTGTTACAACATGCACGATTTTTCATACTGTACTTTTTAATCTCTATTGTATTGCTGTTTGTTTCTGTTACTCTTTGCCAGTGCTTGTGGATTGAGTACTCTGACCTCATCCGGCAACAATGTAGCCTATCTCACACTGGCCATTACTTAACAGAGCAGACCATTTTATACAACATATGTTTATTATGCCAAGCCCCCACCGTACGAGTTTGGAGCGATAGTGGCACAATTCACGTGTTGCAGATTATCTTTAATGATCTTTAGATTGGTTATGAAAACCAGGAGCTCATTAGTCGCACTGTGTGGCAGGGTCAATGACATACTATTTACTGCAAGCTCGAATGCACGCATACACACACACACACACACTGGGCTGGTCATAGTGATTAGTGCAGTATTTGTCTGTTCCTGCTGTGTTAACACCACTACAAGGGAGATTTCACAAGATCGTCTGTGGCCAATAGAAATGCACATTTAGATATGATAATTGTATCTGATGTCTATCAGATTTAGATATACTTTTTCACGCTGTAGTTTTGATGTAGTGAACTACTTTAAACACTTTCTCTGATAGTTAATTCTCTTATAGTTTATCTTATATTGCTCTGTATTACAGTAGCTTTACTGTAGCTCAACTTCTTCTGCTGTGAAGTAATTGGTAGCTTGGTAAACTACATTTTTACAGTAGCTTCCCCAACACTGAGTGCAAGTAGAGCACTGGAAAGCTTTCCCGTCTTTGCTGGGCACAGTCAGTGTTACCTTCCTATGATGGGACCTCAGAATGTCTGTATTTGGGGTGAATGTAATGCTCATTAGAGCTAGATGAGGAATTGTTTGACTAATTATTTCATTCTTTCCTCTGTTAGGACTTCGGCAGCCTGTCCAACCTGCAGGTCACCCAACCTACCGTTGGCATGAACTTCAAAACACCCAGGGGAGTGTAAACGCGTTTCATATATCTCTGTCAATAAAGAGAAGTTGAAAGGAAACACTGTGGCGTCTCTTCTGCGAGGTCACACTATGCAACATCTTAACAAGCGTTAACCGGCGATAGCAGACACTCGCATAGCGAATCTCCCGTGTGGCTCAGTTGGTAGAGCGTGGCACTTGCAATGCCAGGATTGTGGGTTCGATTCCCACGCGGGACCAGAACGCTCTGGATAAGTGTCTGCTAAATGACTAAAATATAAATAAAGCAGATGTTTTGGAGGTGTCGGAGGTAGAACTGCGTTGGAGCCGTCAAATCGGTGAGCAGCTGCTCTTGCAATCATTGTCACGAAGCCTCACCTGCCCCACACTCGTTAGAAGTTCAGAACGAGAAAGTGTAAGTTATATAGCAATAATTGCGCTCAAATTGAAAAATGAGGATTTTGAGCATCCTAAATAATCGAGGTGTAGATTATCGATGCTGCTAATAGTAATGTCTGCTTTAGGTATAATGCCAGGGGCTGCTGTGGATTTGACCACTCTAAAGCAGTTCCACTTCCCGACAACGCCAAAACAACCGCTATGCGGATGTCGGCTAAAGGGGATGTGATTGAATAGAGCCCCAGAGTCAGGATGCAATCCGATTGTGGATAATAGGCATTGCAGCTTTTACAGACTAGTTCCGATTGAGCCGACCTATGCAGCGTTTACCGTGAACATGGGTACATTACCTAAAAGCTGCAATGCCTATGACCCGTGATCGGATTGAATCCCGGGCTAAAACAATCGTACTACCAGACTCCATATCAACTCTGTAAAAGGATCCATCTCAATACTCTGAAGATCCATCTCAATATTGTCTAAGGGGGTTTTCACACTTGGTCCCTTTCAGACAATTTTTGTGAACTCCGCCGGTTCGCTTCATTTTTTGTCCAGTGTGAAAACGCCAAAGGAACTCGGACCCCTCAAAAGATCCCCCGAAGTGAACCGAACTGAGACCATCTCGAGAGGTTGTCTTGAGTTCGGTTCGCTTGAATTTCTCAGTCCCAGTCCCTTGTTTAGGGCAATGTGAACGCAAAGCTCCCCAGGTTCCCACCCGCTAGCCTACTGCAACACGGTTTCCCCTGCCATAACCCCTCACACGCAGACATCTTTTGGTGCTGTTTTGGATATTGATTTGTGATTGGCCAAAATGTGTTTTTAGTTCAGATAATTGTTTTGCTATATTGATCTATAGGCTAAGAGAGCTTCATAAACTGATTATTTGAGTGTGGGGTTAGAATAGTGTGAGAAGACAACATTTGGTGAGAATCAGAACATAGGGTATAAAATCAATTATAGTTCTTAAAGGTGCAGTAGCCTAGATTGGGTGTACAATTTTCAATTACAGCATTATTTAATCTGCAGTTATCCTTCTATTTATTGATGCCAATTATATTTACATGTTAATAGTATCTTCTGATTACAATTGTCGCATCTTTTGACTAAATGCAATCTATTAGCTTCCAAAATATGTGTGTATATATAGCTGTCCGATAACACGTTCTGATGGAATGACTCGTCCTGCATATTGGTGTATTGAGTGAATGTTCCTTTCTAAACATAGCAATGTGAATGCAAAGAGGACTCTGACCTAAAAAAAAAAAAAAAAAAAGGGGGAAGTGAACTGGCAAAAGAGTTGTCCTCATTCAAAGGCAAGGGCAGTGTGAATAGAGAGAACAGTTATTTTGCTATCCCCCCCCCCCAGTAATTACACCTAAAGTTACTTTACAAGTAGCCAAATCCTATGTAACACTTATCAATGACGTACCTAGGCAAACATTACATATACTATGCACCAGGGTGTTTTCTCTTTAACACACCTATGACCCAGAAGCCTCATTTATAACTGTTGCTAACATGTCCTGATCTTGTCCACATCGGATTGTACCCACATTTCCAGACATTTGTCTACAAATTGTATTAAAATGTATTTTATCCGTCCGCATTGTGAACAAATTTCCTGGTCCCTCCATGTATCCAAATTAAAATGTATTTTGAGACATATTGATGCCATAAGTCAACCGTGCCAACATTCCAATGATTTAAGGCTGGTATGACTTGTTTCACTGCCAAGATCCATACCCATTCGTAAAGATATCCAGACAAAGCGTGCCCGACTACCTTCGGAGGTGGTCAGGAAGTTCTGATCAATTATATGACAGTCTTTTAATCTTCTACACCGGTCTAAAAATGTGGGCACAATCCGAATGTGGACAAGATCAGAACACATTAGCACCAGATATACAGTGGGGGAAAAAAGTATTTAGTCAGCCACCAATTGCGCAAGTTCTCCCACTTAAAAAGATGAGGCCTGTAATTTTCATCATAGGTACACGTCAACTATGACAGACAAAATGAGAATTTTTTTCTCCAGAAAATCACATTGTAGGATTTTTAATGAATTTATTTGCAAATTATGGTGGAAAATAAGTATTTGGTCAATAACAAAAGTTTCTCAATACTTTGTTATACCCTTTGTTGGCAATGACACAGGTCAAACGTTTTCTGTAAGTCTTCACAAGGTTTTCACACACTGTTGCTGGTATTTTGGCCCATTCCTCCATGCAGATCTCCTCTAGAGCAGTGATGTTTTGGGGCTGTCGCTGGGCAACACGGACTTTCAACTCCCTCCAAAGATTTTCTATGGGGTTGAGATCTGGAGACTGCCTAGGCCACTCCAGGACCTTGAAATGCTTCTTACGAAGCCACTCCTTTGTTGCCCGGGCGGTGTGTTTGGGATCATTGTTATGCTGAAAGACCCAGCCACGTTTCATCTTCAATGCCCTTGCTGATGATAGGAGGTTTTCACTCAAAATCTCACGATACATGGCCCCATTCATTCTTTCCTTTACACGGATCAGTTGTCCTGGTCCCTTTGCAGAAAAACAGCCCCAAAGCATGATGTTTCCACCCCCATGCTTCACAGTAGGTATGGTGTTATTTGGATGCAACTCAGCATTCTTTGTCCTCCAAACACGACGAGTTGAGTTTTTACCAAAAAGTTCTATTTTGGTTTCATCTGACCATATGACATTCTCCCAATCCTCTTCTGGATCATCCAAATGCACTCTAGCAAACTTCAGACGGGCCTGGACATGTACTGGCTTAAGCAGGGGGACACGTCTGGCACTGCAGGATTTGAGTCCCTGGCGGCGTAGTGTGTTACTGATGGTAGGCTTTGTTACTTTGGTCCCAGCTCTCTGCAGGTCATTCACTAGGTCCCCCGTGTGGTTCTGGGATTTTTGCTCACCGTTCTTGTGATCATTTTGACCCCACGGGGTGAGATCTTGCGTGGAGCCCCAGATCGAGGGAGATTATCAGTGGTCTTGTATGTCTTCCATTTCCTAATAATTGCTCCCACAGTTGATTTCTTCTAACCAAGCTGCTTACCTATTGCAGATTCAGTCTTCCCAGCCTGGTGCAGGTCTACAATTTTGTTTCTGGTGTCCTTTGACAGCTCTTTGGTCTTGGCCATAGTGGAGTTTGGAGTGTGACTGAGGTTGTGGACAGGTGTCTTTTATACTGATAACAAGTTCAAACAGGTGCCATTAATACAGGTAATGAGTGGAGGACAGAGGAGCCTCTTAAAGAAGAAGTTACAGGTCTGTGAGAGCCAGAAATCTTCCTTGTTTGTAGGTGACCAAATACTTATTTTACACCATTTGCAAATAAATTCATTTAAAAAATCCTACAATGTGATTTTCTGGATTTTTTTTCTAAATTTGTCTGTCATAGTTGACGTGTACCTATGATGAAAATTACAGGCCTCTCTCATCTTTTTAAATGGGAGAACTTGCACAATTGGTGGCTGACTAAATACTTTTTTTCCCCACTGTAAATGGGGATAGTGTGTCAAGTATGCCCCTTTTGGGACAAGTGCTAGTTACAACAATGAGGAAAGATTGAGATTTTGGCTTGTGTTCTAGTTGGTATCCATTTCAGCAACTCCACATTTTGTTACAGCCTGATTCAAAATCAATTAAATCAATGTATTTTTCCTCACCCATCTACACACAATACCTCAATGACAAAGTGAAAACATGTTTTTAGAAATGTTTGCAAATTTATTGAAAATGAAATACAATTTACGTAAGTATTCACACCTCTTTGCTCTGACACTAAATTGAGCATCCAATTTCCTTTGATCATCCACAGTTGACAGTGCATGTCAGAGCAGAAACTATACCATGAAGTCCAAGGAACTGTCCGTAGATCTGAGAGAATTGTGATGAGACATATTTGGGGAAGGGTATAAAACTATTTCTAGAGTGTTGAAAGTTTCCAAGAACAGTGATCTACATCATTGGGAAATTGAAAAAAATATGGAACTACCCAGCCTTCCTAGAGCTGGCCTTCTAACCAAACTGAGCAACCAGGCAAGGATCTTTGTCAGGGAGGTGACCAAGAACCCAATGACAAAACTACAGCGTTCCTTGGCTGAGATGGGAGAACATGCCAGAAGGACAAGTCTTTACAGCACTTCACCAATCTGGGCTTTATGGGGGAGTGGCCAGACAAGCCACTCCTGAGAAAAAGGCACATGACCACACGCCTGGAGTTTGCAAAAAGGCACGTGAAAGACAGATCATAAGGCAAAAGACTGGTCTGAGATGATTTAACGCTTTGGCCTCAATTCAAAGAGCCATGTCTGGAGAAAACCAGGCACAGCTCCAGTGGCGTGTATTAATGGATGCTTCCCCAAAAAAATTGACCAATAAAAACAGATTTTATTTCGTAGCTCCGTTTCATAATTTGCCTTCAGTTCGCAAGAGGCTGAATGTATCACACAGGAGGAAAGCATCAGAGCGCGCGAAACAGCGCCGTTCTGTCTCTCTAGGTGTAGGCCATCTATCTGATGCGGTCTGGTCCAAACGAGTATGACATTGTTGCCGCCCGTAACATTGAAGGCAAGCCAGCGAGGATCTGGCCTCCCGTGACAAAAACAGTATTTAAAAAATGACCCAATCAGCATTGAGCTCAACTGTGAATGGTCCTGGCGCCCCCCAAAAAAAAAAAAGTGTCAAGGGAAGCCAGCTTGGATTTGGCTTCAAATCCCATTGAGAGCATACATCATTGACAGAAATAATTAAATTGTTGCATCTTGTTGTGTTGTCCTCCGGTGGCTAGCTAGCTAAAATTGGCCATTTCCTGAATTTGCCATGGGATGGAGATAGGGATTTGGACTTGCGGTTTTACTTAATTATCCGTACTGGCCAATGATTATAACTGCGATTCTGATCCAACCATTAATTCAGAAATGGTTTTGCCTATGGCCTGAGAGGATGGAAGTTCAATATGTAGCTAGATGTAGAAGGCTAATGTTAACTAGCTAACATTGCCCATGAATGAATGAAAGTTAGGCGAGCAATCATTTTAGCCAGGTAGCCTACGACAACAAAAAATAAGCGTGTATTATATGACAGTGATAGACAGAGGATGGCATTTTTCTACAAGTAGGGTGAGTCATGTTTTTCTGCTTGCACGAACACAGAACCATCGACAGCCACATATTTAGCTTACGTTGATTGGACTAAATCGTTTTTGGCATCTTTTAGTTGTCACTGTTAGACTAAGCAGAGGTGCTGGAATGGTGGAGGCGGCTCCTGTTTTCTTTGCGACATGCGGTAACTGTGGTCCGAAGATGTCAGAAACATTAACTTGCTTGACCATGCAACTGTCTGTTACTGTACATGCTTTGTGGACTTCACTGGACAGAGGTTGCTATCCGGTGTGATTAAACAAAGGTTAATCGAATTTATTCTGCCACTGTCTTATTGTCTCGGCTTTTAGGCTTATGTATCACGGTCGCAAGGCATATGAACTAACAGGTTATATAGCAAATGCAATTATCACAACACATAGGTTGTTATATGGCTTTTTGGGGGGTGGGAAGGGGGGCTTGGCTTCCCCTTGATTTCACACACCGCTACTGCACAGCTCATCACCCGTCTAACAGCATCCCTACCTTGAAGCATGGTGGTGGCAGCGTCATGCTAGGGGGAGGCTTTTCTGCACCAGAGACTGGTACGGATAAAGGGAACAATTAATGAGCCAAATCCTTGATGTGAATGTACAAAAATATCTATAAACATATTTTCTAAGTCATTATGGGGTGGTTTGTAGACAGGTGAGAATCTATTTAACCTATTTTTAATTCAGGCTGTAACTAAATGTGGAATAAGGGGTAAGTACACTTTCTGAAGGCAATCATTGTTACCTCAAATTTCAGATCATCCCCAGCTGTTTCATGATGTAAGTAGCGTAACAATGAGTCATCACAAGCCACATTTAAAAAAACTAACCATCTTTAAATCCACTAAATTTCTAAGGTAACGTCACACAAGCGCGATGCACAAATTCATGGAAATAAATCAGACAAGATTCTAGTCTAAGAGTAAGACCAGAAGCAACAAGTAATGCTTAAACACCTTTATTGTGCCCAATCTGAACATAATCCACATCAGTAAGTAGCAGCAAAGAGACCACAGTGAGGTAGACTTTCAAAACTCTAAAAAGCAGCTGGGCTAAGACAAGCTCAGCATGAGTAACTTGATGGGGGGAAAAAAAGACGCTAGTCTTTGGCACACAGCTCAATATGCATATATCCAACTGGAACAAGGAAGGCAATGGGGTAAGAAAGCACAGGGAAAGCTGTGTTCGGTCTACTCCAGCTCTTGGTATGTTTTTAGCAAAGTGGAAGTTCTACATTCAACAGGAAACAAGCAGCTGCTCATATCTGGGCTCAGAGCCCCTCTGTTCATGTACAAAAACAGTGATAAAAAATCACTGCCACCCTCTCCTAAAGTGCAAATTAAAAAGTGCAACAATAAAACTACGTAACTTACAATCAAAATGTCAATGTCCGTTCCAGTCTCAGTAAAGATCCATCCAATTGATTGAAAAACATGATGGAAACCCAGTTGAAGCAGTGTCCAGCAACGTTAGGCTTTATGAACAGGCCCAACACCACAAGCAAAGTAATGCTTCAACACCTTTATTTGTGCCCATTCAGTAGAACAGGGGTGGTCCTGGAGCGCCGCAGGCACTTCATGTTTTGGATTTTAACCAACCTAGAAGACCAGGTGTGTTGAATTTAGGAAATCACTGAACTGATCAATTAGCTCAGTTGGTCAGGTGTGGTGCCTAGTTGGAACAAAATCCTGCAGACCTTGCGACACTCCAGGAACAGGGTTGCATACCCCTGCAGTAGAACACCGGTAGGGAGAACAAATCTACCACCAGCCCCAGACTAATACTTTGGGGTGAGGAAAAACCAAGGGGAGGGAAAAAATTAAAAAGCCGCCAGGTAGAATTCGGTTCCAAATTTCCTTGTCATGACTTAAAACCGTTTGTGTACAAATTAGTAAAAAACTGCGTAAAAATGTCTGAAATGCGACTGGTTAAATGAAGCCCAACTCATCTTCCAAAGTAAAAAACACCAGCTGGCTTGCACAGGAAAAACAGTAAGCCAACTGGGGGTGGGGGCGAAGGGGTGGAACAATTTGAAGGCACTGTATGGTATCTACCAATGAATGGCAATGAGACGTGCATGATCGCTCCTTAATATGCAACGCATGTAAAACAAATCAAAAAAACGTAAGGATAAGAAAAAAAAACTAAGCAAGGCATTTTCATCTACTTCTGAACCCTGGCCTGAATCACGTCTCGTCTGGCCACAAGTCGGGGAAACTGCATAAGGAAGTGTGGGGGCCCCTGACTATCCCAAAAAGGTCACTGTGCATAGTGCCAACGTGAACAAGTAAACAGCAAAAAGTAGCAAGTGCAGCAGTAGACTTTTCTACAGTGTTTCTCCCCCAGTCCTGGTGGGAGTGCCATGGTGCCCCTGGTGTCGCGGGCAGCTGGACACTCGTGCTCTGCGGACGCCCTCTGTGTGTCCTCACCCGTGAGGTGTGGGGCTCTCTCCACCCCCTCGCTGGACTCCTCTGCTCTAGCTGGAGTCCCTGTTCTTCTGGTTGCGCATCAGGGGCCGGTGGTTGCTCAGGAGGTCCATGGAGTGCTGCCAGTGCCAGCAGGAGCGACAGTAGTACTTGAAGCAGGCCTGGGGAGAACACAGGCAAGCCAGGCAGTAGTGAGCGCTCTGTGTGCACTGTGGCGAACATACATGTGAGTCATTGATGTTCCTAAACATTTATCACTTACACAAATGTACGCTTCCTGAATAAAGGCTTAGTAGGAGGCCTTAGTGGATATATAAATACTTAAACATGATTAGTTAGACCAGAAATTGTACTCCTAGCTTCACGTCAAAACAAAGTCATAACACACCTGGTCCCTGCAGAAGAACGGCCCGGGTTGGCGACTGCACACTTGGCACATGGAGTCCTCCAGGTAGGGGTCAATCTGAACCTGAGAAAGGACATTATCACAGTGCTTAGTATTCAGACCATTGAGAGAAGGGAATAATTACACAGCCCAATTAGAGGAGCTGAATTCTTCAATAATAAGCCATAATCCACTTAAAAATATAAAACGCAACATGTAATGTGTTGGTCACATGTTTCATGAGCTGAAATAAAAGATCCCTGAAAATGTTCCATACGCACAAAAAGCTTATTTCTCTCAAAATGTGCACAAACTTGTTTACATCCCTTTTAGTGAGCATTTCTCCTTTGCCAAGATAATCCATCCACCTGTCGGGTGTGGCATATCTAGAAGCTGATTAAACAGCATGATCATTACACAGGTGCACCTTGTGCTGGAACAAAAGATCACTAAAATGTGCAGTTTGTCACAACACAATTCCACAGATGTCAAGTTGATGGAGCATGCAATTGGCATACTGACTGCAGGAATATCCACCACAGTTGTTGCCAGAGAATTGAATGTTCATTTCTCTACCATAAGCTGCCTCCAACGTCATTTTAGAGCATTTGGCAGTACATCCAACCGGCCTCAACCGCAGACCATGTGTATGGCATCGTGTGGGCGAGCGTTGTGAAGAGAGTGCCCCATGGTGGGGTTATGGTATGGGCAGGCATAAACCACGGACAAACAATAGCATTTTATCAATTGGCAATTTGAATGCACAAAAATAGTGACGGACGAGATCCTAAGGCCCATTGTGAAGCCCATTGTTTAATAAGGCATCTGACCAACAGACTGATCTGTATTCCCAGTCATGTGAAATTCATAGATTAGGGCCTAATGAATGACTGATTTCCTCACATGAACTCTAACCTCAGTAAAATCTTTGAAATTGTTGCGTTTATATTTTTGTTCAGTATAGTTGAAAGCAGTCACTGCTGTTCAAGTCTTAAAATCAGGCGCATTCGGCTCTTACCTTCTTTGTAAACTTGGGGGTTTTGATCTCCACAAACGCTGCACACACAGCCTTCAGGTAACTGCGCTGGTTGTTGAAGGTGACACGCCCAGACCCTGTACATTATGAGGTTCAGGTGAAAGGGAAGGATTGATCCCATTACCACCCCCTCTACTGGATAAAAAGCTCAACTGGAACTCAGTGAGTGGAACCTGCCAGTCTTCAACGCAAGGTCAAACCCAGACAGCAATAGGCTACTTCTCAAATTTTATAAACCTTTTTTACCTCCGCAGTTGTCACAAAATGCTCTACAGACACCCAGCCTAAAACCCCAAAGAGCAAGCAATGCAGAACCTGTCAATGTACATTACACCCTTAATGACCGCTGCATTTCAGACAGTTACAGAACACACCCCATGGACATTCACAATAAAGCTACATCAACCAATATAATCCTACAGTCATGGCTAGTTGGTGCCAGTCTTTCAACAGTAATGAGGAATCTCTCACCTATCGGGTACTTGTGCTTGTCGGTGTCAATCCCAGCATACATCACTCCGCCAAACAGGTCATTCATGATGCTGGCCAGGGCCTCTGCGTTGAGCATGCCGTGCAAAGCGCCCACAAACACAGTCTTGCTGGGGTCCAGGCGCTGGGAGGGGCAGCGCACGTAGTTACTGTCCGAGATCACCCAGGGAATCACCTGCACCTGTGGGATCAGAGAGAAGGGGAAGAGGGTCAAGGGTAGCAATAGTCTAGCAGTGTCTTTCTTCCTCAACATTTCACATGTTATGTGAAACGTTTGGTTGTGGATATCCTATGTTCACATGAAATATTTGCCTCCGAGCCCTTTCACACTAAACCAGTGGTTTTCAAAACCTCACCAGGGACCCCCAGATGTTTCACAATTTTGTTGTAGCCCTGAACTAGCTCATCTACTAAGCTAACAAAGATTTTTTTAAAGATGGTCATAACCAATGATAATTTAGCCATTTGATTTAAGACCCCCTAAAGTATCAAAAATAATAATACAAATGATTTGATGAAACATTGAATTTGGCATTCCTCCTATTAGCCCATAGAAAGACATTGAATAACAGATTCACTACATGGAACAGACAGTCTCCCCCCCCCAAAATAAAATAAAAAGGAAGTTTGTTCTGAAGTGTCTGTCCTATAGCAGAGATATGAAAGCTCAGGAAACTACCATGTTTTACATGCATTTAACCTATTTTAGACACTAAACTATTTCCATATATACTTCCATTAATTTTTTTACTTGTAACCGGGTACCTTCAGAGGAGTCTTGTGGGTGTCCTAGAGCAAAACAACCAACACGTACGTGTTCGAGAGAGACTAAAATTGTTCGGACACTACAGACAGAAGTTGGCAGATCTCTAGTTTAAACAGACGTATTTTGATGGGGATTTTTTTTAATGATGTTGTATTAAGGCGCACACTTTTGGGAGAAGGGTAGAGAATTTGAACGCAGTTTGTCAAAACCCCCTGGCTGCAGTCACTAGGACCCCCTCCCCCCCACTCACATCCTTGCAGCGCATCCTGCGGCTAGACATCTTGAAGTAGTATTCTCCATTCTCCTCAGGGTGGAGCAGGTCCTGGGTGCAGGCATGGAGCAGTGCACGAACAGACTTCTCGTTCTCAAACACAAGGTAAACGTAGCCTACAGCAGAGCACAGCAGAGCGTGAACACCAAGCCAACTGACAGACGTAGTGAGTTTGCTAGTCTATTATGGGTCAAGAGTAATAATATGGTGGATGTGAGTGAAGACATTCCAATACGTGTTGCTCATTGTTTATTCTCAATTGTTAGTGAGTCCTCAAGTGATACAATCCACTCTGACCAACATTCTGAAGCCAGGGAGGTGATTAGCTCATCAAACTCATTCTCAACATGACAACATGGTAGACCAAGAAACCCAGAATATTCCACTTCTTGCACGTGTGTGTGGAGTAGGGTTTGTTGGAACCATTGAGTGACCAAGTACACTTATGTCTAAACTCACCGTCCCACTACGTGCCCAGTGCACACCACTGTGCCACCTTAGAACCGTAAGGAAGAGTAAATATCCTACCAGCCTGTCATTACCTTTGGGCATATTACCTTTGGGAGGGCAGCGAGGATGCTTGCCATCCTTACCGGGCCACTCCACACTCAGAGGGCCGTAGCCACTGAAAGTGTTGATCAGACCAGCTGGAGAGAAGAGCAAAGGGTCAGCAGAAGGTGTCAAAGACCAGTAATAGGTCAGCTAAACAGAAATAGTGTTCTGTGAACCAATCTGATTCAAGATTGTTTAACATTGTTCCTCCCTTTCCAAATTTGCGTCCACACTAAAATAAGATCAAATTAGAGCCAATGTAATGCCATGGAGCTGGTCAAACAGCCGTACCTTCAGTGATATCCCAGGGTACTCCTCCCAGGAAGACCTTGTAGGAGTACAGAGGGTTCTTGTTGTTGCGGGGAGGCAGCTGTCCACTCCAGGTGAAGGTGGCTTCATTTACAGCTGAAGGGATAGTCAAGACTGAGCTGGTTAACAGCAGTAGAACACAAGGACGTATAGATTAAAAAGAAAGCTCAACGTGTTAGCATTGTTGTCCCATACCAGCCGCCTGCCTGTGCAGGCGGGCCTCCCTCTCGATGCTGAAGGGGTCGTCGGGAGTCTCCAGCAGGTCCAGGCTTGGCCATATTGATGCCCCGGGCCAGCGGCGGGACAGGGCCGTAGCAGAGCTGGTGGCGCTGGGCGGTGGGGTGAGAGGGGAGCCGTGGTCCTGGTAGTCCAGCCTGGAGCCCAGAGAGCTCAGCCTCATAGAGTCCTTCTGCATGCTGGACATGAGGAAAGGTAGGGGGGGAGAGATCCTCAGGGAGGACTGGTCAGGGGGAGGGGGTTACAGGAGATATTCCTTCAGATCAGCAGAAAGGCCATAAATCTTCATAAATTGCTCTGTGGCAAAACAATGTGATATGACCTTGATCAATAAACTAAAAGTCTAACCCTCAACAATGAACATGAAAATCTAAACCGCGACAATCATTGAGTGAAATGTCAAATGCATATCACTGTAAATTACATCAATTCAAAAACCACTTCCCAAGTTTACAAACGTACACCCACCCCCCCCACGTACACAGATACTTACGAGCAGGTCTGAGAGGTGGTCCGAGCCGGAGCTGAAGCCACTGGTTTCAGAGTCTACAGGGCTGCTGGAGCGCGAGTCCAGGAAGGAGCGAGAGTCCAGACGGCTGGTCATGCGCGCCATGCCGGGGAACTTTTCCAGGAAGTCAGCTGCCGTGCCCATGGGCTCGCTGGGGGGGTGGTAGCCAAGGGGCTTGCCCAGGATCTGGCCCAGGGGACTGCCCAGCATGTCCAGCACTGAGACCACAACAGCATGTTTGTCAGATCTTCCAACTAGCAGCATCAGAGGCTGAAGCTGATATAAGGTTATTCAACCAGCACTAAACACTTTACCTGCTAGATCATACATTTCACAGCTCCCAGATTAGGAGAACATAAAACCAGCAGATAGTTAAATAAACCTGATATGATCTTCATGTGACTCATTTCTAATGTATAGGGAATCCACACTATGCTATAGGGCCCACACTGTCAATAACAGGAACATTCTGGGAGCCCATTTTTAATCAACTGGTTACAAAATGGATGCTTCCGAGTGAGCAATTGTGACTGGTAAACCATTACGCTTTAGCATAGTGGCCATCTGTCCATTCCAGATTAGAATTCTGCCACACTGCCAGTTTCTAAGACTATGACTAGACAGACTCAGCATTTCAGCCAAGCAGAGCCATTTTAAAACATTCCTAAATAGTTTCATTGAACTCCTGGTGCCAAGACGCTGAAAGGATTGAGATAATACACCATAAGGCTAAAACCAGAGAACAAGGCAAGGTTAAAAGACTCATGTCTTGTTGTAGTTGTTATGCAATATTCCATAATGAAACGTATATGTCTAACGCCCCATCACAACAACTAGCATGGTCACTAACCTACTGCATTAAAACACTATTGGTTGTAAGGAGCTTGGCAAGCCCTGATCATTGGGCTGGGCTGACAACGCAGACAGGATCAGCTGACACCCACGCAGACAGGATCAGCTGACACCCACGCAGACAGGATCAGCTGACACCCACGGCAAATATATACTGTGGGTCTGTAGCTGTCCCAGTGGGCAGTGCTGTTAACGGGGTTGTGTCTGGGACGGTATGGATATGTTGTGATTCAATCTCGTCACAAGAACTGGGTCAGTACAAAGTGAGAGGGGAAGGGACACTGCATGGAGGCAGGGGAATGTCATTAAGCTAAAACATTAAATGAGATATTACGTAAGACAATATTGAATAGAATATTCCCCAAGACAAATAATTATGTAAAAGGTGCTTGAGGCAAGTACATTCACACCTTCATCTTTAGGGGAAAATGCAGAATTTAACAAGTCAATTAAGCAGGGACCCTGCTGAATATCTGAAAAACAAGTTGATGGAAAGGGTCACCCCGTTTGTGGACATAAACAGCAGGTTCAGACGACGGACAAACTGCCACATCATTCACTACAACAGCCTGATGAAACAGATCTCCATCTAGGGATGACAATAGCTCAGTATCAAATCATTCAAATACTTCAGACCAGACCCAAGAGAAACACCTTAGATGCCAACACCTGACATCTGAACTGAAGTCATTACTGAGAATGCAGGATACTGTCTCAAAACCAGAGCAAGTTACATTGGCACAACCCCACACAGAAACCTACATAGGCTATAGCATTCACTATATCCAATGTGAAGTAGGACTAGACACTAGCAGTCTATTCCCAGCACATTGGAACAGGTAGTACAGTAGAACTAGCAGGACAGTCAAAGCATTTATGTTAATGTACTTCCTGTCTTTACTTCATTTGACACATTGTCAACAGTAAGTATTCACTACACAGGAAGTATTTCAGTACTCACTGGAGGTAGAGCTGGTGTGGGCCTGGGAAGCAGCGGTGGTGTGTGCGTCCGTGTCATGGCTGCTCCAGGGGCGCTCCCAGCCGGACAGGCTGAGGGACTGGAGGCCCAGACCCAGGTCGTTGACATCTGGCAGGCCTCTGGAGGAGCCCTCGTGGGGAGAGCCTCCGCTGCCACCGACACTGCTGCTGGGGAAGAGCATCCTGCTGCCCACTGCAGCCAGCTCCGATTCCTGCAGGTCTGTGGACGAACGAGGAGAGAGCGAATGAACAGTTAGGCACCCTGCATCTGCCTGAGGGAAGAGGGTGTCGAGTGAAATGGCTTCTCCTTCCCAAAAACAAAATCTTACTGATAGAAATGAAGTCAGACTGTAGCGACCCTTCCCTGCATTGTGATCAGGGGGCGAACCTGCTGCGACTGTGCCCGGTGCAACTGCCATGCATTTCCATCTGCATCACTGACCGACTTAGCATGTGACCTGACTGCTGATTCACTCGCACCCCCCTGCTAATGACATCAGCTCCACTGCCACCCCCCTTCCGTTTCCTCTAACTGGGTAATGAAAAATTCCAGTTGGAGATATTCGCAGGCTGATAGAACTCCCCCGGCACAGCGTCTGTCAGTGTTGGCGGTGGCAGCCAGCTGCTGCTAACAGTGGCTCTAGCCTAGTTTCCTGAGTGAGCCGGCAGAGAGTGAGAGAGAGATGAGGCAGAGAGGGAGGGTGACTAGCAGAGAGAGGGGTGTGGTAGTACGCTAGCTGCAGGGGAGGAGGGGGCACAGAGCAGAAATCCCTGGTGTATTGAGCTGGCTGGCCCACCCTCCCAGATTTGCCAGTGTCACACAGAGAAGCTATAGTAACAGCAGCTGACTGATCAGAAGTAGGAGGACGGGGTGATTTGCACCGCCAGCTTGCCCCATCGCACTTCAGGGCTGGACAGCCTCCAACTGCTAGCTACAGACCTGATTCAGCAACTCCAGGCAGGGCAGAGGAGAGGGGTGGTGGAGGGGGATAGGCCATCATTGAAGCTTCGTTTCTAGCTGGATTAATGTCGCCGACTGACTCAATAGTTTACAATGCATCATTTACACCCAATCTCATCAAGGAGTGATTGTTGTAACCTGTGTAAAATGTGCAAGTAAATCAAAATTATAAAATGACTTGTTTTGAGAAAATCTCAACATTTCAGCATAAAAACCAACTATACTAGCCTGTGATAATTAAAATATGGCCCAAGTCTGGTTACACAGTTGTATGGAAGGTTCATAATAAAGGGATGACAATGTGGTCAAAACCCATTGGTGCCAACTGAATTGAAGTGTAAGACATTTTGCAGCCTGGTGTCAGACTAGACGTAACATAGTAAATGTAAATCCGGGATGCAAATGAGTATGATATCATGTTTGGTACGGTTACATAAGACAAATGGTTACTTAACGTGGTTGGTCGGGGTCGATGGGTTGGCGTATAACTCGAACGTCTAGCAACCCAAAGGTTGTGAGTTCAAATCTCACTGACAACTTCAACATTTCAGCAACTTTCCAACTACTTAGCATGTTTGCTAACCCTTCCCCTAACCCTTTAACGTAACTCCTAAACTTAACCCTAACCCAGCTAACATTAGCCAGCTAGCTAACATTAGCCACCTAGCCAAAATTCATAACATATCATACATTTAGCAAATTGGTAATTATTGTACAGTTTTGCAAATTCGTAACATTGTGCGTTTTACAAATTCGTAACATATCATCCAAAATAGGTGATGACATCCACGAATTAATACATACCATACGAATCGTAACATTAAATGGAGTGTCTCGGATTTACTTACAGAATACGAAATGCTCTGAGACCAAGTTGCATTTGCCTTATATTAAGAACTAGGAGTGTAACAATGTTACAAATTATAATCCAATTATCTTGTCAATTCATTAAAAACTAAAAAGTGACCAAGTTTGGTGGCCTAGTGAGTACTGACTGATTTTAAAAGAAATCTATCAGGTTAAATACAGTAGAATTGCAGTGTCTGTGAGAGTCTTGGCAAAGACCTCAAGCTCTGGAAAGCTTAGACTACAAGTGCTGCAATGCTGCAGACGGTGCAGCATGAATCAGCTGTTCCCACAATTATGACAAAGCTGTGGTGTGGACTACAAAACTTTAGCCATTAAAAAAGGGAAATTGTATGTTTAGTATGCTAATAGTTTCCCCTTTACTGCCACTGACAACAAGCATACCAATGTGTCATCCCAATGTACACGTGCAGCGAGAAAGAGTTTACCGGTCAGGAGCATGTCTAGCTTTCCCTTGGTGCCGGATGTTGTGCACACACCAGTAAAATCCAGAGAGTTGCCCAACATGGTGTTCATTCTACGATATATGTCCGCGTTACTGCAAGTGGACAAGGCTGGTGATTCGGGTGCCCAATTGTCATGGGGTCTAAATTCGTCTTTCTAGAAATGACAAGAGAACAGACTTGTTAAAATATCACTTTGATGTAATTCAAGTAAGGTTTTTTTACATTTTAAATTAACAAATATAGGGCTTTGTAGGCTACACCGATCACCCTGGATAATACATATTCTAGGTTCATTTTCAGGTATTGGCTTTTTGTCCATTTTATATATATTTAGGCCTAAACCTATTAGGCTAGCAGTAGCGGCCTACTTTTAATTGTAGCCTAGGCCTATATGCTTTTCATGTGCTACTGTTATTGTTTGAAAGACAAAAACCATTGAGCGAAAATATAACTATTCGTTGGGTTTTTCTTACCAATGAAAACGCCATGGTAGGAAACGTCTAACAGAAATGTTTCAAACAACCGTAACCTAAGTCGAGGTCATACTTATGAATGCAGCCGGTAGACAATTAGCCACATTGATTAGTAAACGTATGCCTATCCAATCAGGTGATTTGGGCGGTACCATTGCCAAGTACTTATGCTGCGTTCATAACCAAGTGGGAAGATGGTATTTACCACATACGGCCAGGAGAGAACACTGCCCCCTCTCATTGAAGCTGCGGAAGTTCAATGCCGACTGCGGTATCTCATGCATTGTTCGCAGAAAACAGGATCCCCCATCACAGTGAATGGAAAAATGTCAATCTTCGTGTAAATAATTTTTTTTTTCAAAGACAGTCATCCCGCCTATAATTGCTTATAATACACCAGATGTATGTCCTTGAATCAATTATTTTAAAATTGCACACAGAAGAAGATTTATAAGGATAATTTAGTTGCTAATGGCAGCCTCAGGTGTGAAAGTAAGGCGGTACAGTCAGGTAAGGCGTCCCGGCAAAATAAAACATGAGCCTATCACAATAAACTGTTGGCTATTACACCATTATTTATCATTACCGCAAGTCAGATGCATGAAAAAATTGTGAATGTACTTGAAAACGGGTGGTATAGCCTACACTCTAAAATGCAATGTGGTTCGATGAGAACACTGACATTTTGCCAAGGCAGAGAATAGTGGCCGACATCGAGACTTGCGCAGACAACAGTGGACGCATAAATTCTGTCCTAATGACAATCGCCAAATGTCATTTCCCTTTTTGGTGTTTTGTGTAAAAGATGTCTCTTTCCATTCACCACTGTTTGGAGGCTGGAGATTTGTTGCGAGTGGATGAACGTGTGGGGGTAGCCCAGTAAAGGAGCCCTTTTAAGTTATTGTTTGACAATCAGATGAAAACATCATGACTGGTTGTGTTTATTCCACAATAAAAGGTCATACATTTTAGAAGTTAAATGACAAATCTTTACGACTAGCCTACAGAGATCCTATTGAATTAATAGAATTCTATGATTAGGCCCATACATTTTTTTGGTGCGCGTGCAAGAGTGTGCACACATAGGGAGTCCCGTACTGGGAAGAAATTAAATCTACTTTCACCCCTTGGCAGCATGCAGTACCCCGGTTGGCCTTCAACTTGAGTTCCTCAATGAGAGGTGGCAGCACTGAGCTAGCCTGGAACGTCACTTCCGGGACTAGCTCAAACTGCGTTTGTTACAACTGAGAACTGGGAAATCTCCGACTTCCGAGTTCAGTGCGTTCAAAACAACTGGGAATTCGAGGGGAAAAACGAGCTCCGACTGGGAAAATTCTATTTGAAGGGTCAATAAACTCGGAAATCCAACCCAGGAACTCTGGCCTCGTTCTAGAGCTCCGACTTTCCGACCTAAATATCACTGACGTCATGATTTGACATCGTATTTTTCCGAGTTCCCAGTTGTTTTGAACGCGTTATAAATCTCCATGAGACGCCATTTTAACCGACTTCATTTGGCTTCAATGCGCTATTGAGTCTTCGCATAGGAATGATGGTGTCACGTGATCGATGGCTTTATCTTCATATAGACCCTTGTATACGACTGGGAAAAATTCACTTGAACGTCCCTCATCTATCATCCCTGAGCGCCGATTTCTCCCACAGGCTGACCTCTGACGTCACCTACTAAGAAAATTACCTCGAGAACAGCATTTTCAGTTGTTAAATGGAACAACAACACATTATTTATAAAAAGCTATCTATTAATATGGGTTTTGAACACTATAATTTGTTTGCGAGCATGATAGCTGTACTTTTAATTTATTGTTGACGCATCTTGTTTGCCATTAGCCAATCGGCGTATCTCAACGACTTCAAAGCACATGAATGCGTCCAACTAGTATTTACTACTTCATAACGCGAAATTACCACCTTCCCACTTGGTTATGAACACAGCATTTGACAGGTGTTTTTCACGAGTGAATGCTGGAGCGAAACAGTAGCCAACTTTTGGAATGTGCTGAAATAAATTAGTTGATGAGAGTGCTGCAGAGAAATGTGGCGCAGTGGTCTGTGCCACTAGAGATCCTGGTTCGAATCCAGGCTCTGTCGTAGCTGGCCGTGACCGGGAGACCCATGGGGCGGCGCACAATTGGCCCAGCGTCGTCCAGGGTAGGGTAGGGGAGGGAATGGCCGGCAGGGATGTAGCTCAGTTGGTAGAGCATGGCGTTAGCAACGCCAGGGTTGTGGGTTCGATTCCCACGGGGGGCCAGTATGAAAAATAAAAAAAATAATGTATGCACTCACTAACTGTAAGTCGCTCTGGATAAGAGCGTCTGCTAAATGACTGAAATGTAAAATGTGACAGGTGACAGGTGGCCTAGCGGTTAAAAGCGTTGAGCGCTTAATCAAAAAGTCGCTGTTTCGAATCCCTGAGCGGACTAGGTAAATGTGCATTAGCAAGGCACTTAACCCTAGTCGTAAATCGTTCTGGATAAGAGTGTCTGTTAAATTACTGAAATGTTCTATTAAACTCCCTCACAATAAATTATAATTGGATACATTGTAAATGTAAATGTAAGAGCACACCAACATTTGCTTACCTGCACTTTAGTCACCAGGTGACCCCCTTGCATAAAATTAATGCAATGTTCCTTTTTAGGTCAGTTGGCCCAATATGCAATTTCATGAAAAACATCGGGTTTCTAACACAGTCAAAAAACGTCAATGTCATTTACATTTACATTTACATCATTTACCAGACGCTCTTCTCCAGAGCGACTTACAAATTGGTGCATTCAATTTATGATAGCCAGTGGGACAACCACCTATTTATTTTTATTTTTTATGGGGGTTGGGGGAAGAAGGATTACTTTATACTATTCCAGGTATTCCTTAAAGAGGTAGGGTTTCAAGTGTCTCCGGAAGGTGGTCAGTGACTCCGCTGTCCTGGCGTAGTGGGGGAGCTTGTTCCACCATTGGGGTGCCAGAGCAGCGATTAGCTTTGACTGGGCTGAGCGGGAACTGTGCTTCCTTAGAGGTAGGGGACTAGCAGGCTAGAGGTGGATGAATGTAGTGCCCTCGTTTGGGTGTAGGGTCTGATCAGAGCCAATGTCCACATATAATTATTGATACTCAATTATGTATAATTGATAGCCATTTTAAATTGATATTGTAAAGCTACTTTTTTGTAATGAAATAATGTCACTATTATTTTATTAGCCTATAGCAACACCTTGTAGCCTACAACTGGGCCCCTAGGTGTGTCCTGACCATAATAGACCGTATCTAATGTACTAGTTCACTGAACAGAACTACATAAATATCCTAGTCCTAATCTTAGGTCCAGGGTCAGGTACTGTACGTAGGTCGGGTAATGCCAAGAGTGTGCAAAGCTGTCATCAAGGCAAAGGGTGGCTATTTGAAGAATCTCAAATATAAAATATATTTTGATTTGTTTAACACTTTTTTGGTTACTACATGATTCCATATGTGTTATTTCATAGTTTTGATGTCTTCACTATTATTCTACAATGTAGAAAATAGTAAAAAATAAAGAAAAACCCTTGAATGAGTAGGTGTGTCCAAACTTTTGACTGGTAGTGTACATCTGTTGCCTTGGTAACCAAACAAACAGACTTGCAAATTTAGCTAAAAACCATCAGTCCTAGTTTGCTATTATGAAAATAGAATTCAACAATGCCAATCATGTTTTCAATTGGACTTTTGCTTTCAAAAGCAGCTCGAACATAAAAAATTAACTATAGTCAATTAATTCTACCATGCTGATATACCTGTGTTATAGTGAAATAATGCATGCTCTAGAATGCCCTTCAAGCCAATCAGAAAGGAGTATTCAACAATGCCATGGTATAACAGTTTATAAACATTTCAGCCTTTTAGAAGCCACAACAGATTGGTGATGCTGACACATATGTTGAATATCTAACGCCTGCCTGTTCATTCTCTGTCTCTTACAACTGTTGCAGTTGATAGTGTCTGTGGACATGGGTGACATATTTTCCCTAGCAACAGCATTCGACTAACAACAGTTTGAAATAACAACCATATAAAATTTGCTCGTCAAATAATGTCAAGTTCAAGAGTTCAAATGCCCTTGTAGTAATGTTTAGCACATATTCAAATTGTATTACATCCTAGAATGGATTTGTGAATAAGGTAGGCTACTCAGACACTCAAATGTTATTCATAGGTGTCCCTCGCACACTTATTTTCCCATTTCAGCTGGCTGCCCTTACTGCATGCCTACATTGGCTGTCAACTCCAAATTAAAATATCCTTATAGTTTGTAAAATCACAAGCATTTCAGACCCTATTTCAGAAACAACACCTTGGCCCTGACTCTTGACACACGTGTGGATCTGAGAGGATTGGATAGGTCTAAGCAATATGGTTAAGCATGGTGGAATTTTCTCCATATCCAATCCTCTCAGATGAACTCATGTGCGAATGAGTGGAGGCTACAGGTTGTTAATGGATGGGGCCTCTGTGCTTATTGCAGAACATCACCAGAACGAACACATTTTATTACTTACTTTTGTCACAAGGGGGCATGCTTGCTCTACTAAAGTGAACATGGTTATTGTGTGACTGCGTACCTGTAGATGACACCGCTGTGCCTCTCTCATGGAGTTGTTTACATACCTGTAGTTGCTTTGGAATTCAACACCTGTATAACTGATTGTTCTCGATTGTCACTATTGCGCTGCTGGGTAGGGCTTGCAAGTGAAGCATTTCACTGTACACTGGTGCTGTACTTGCGCATGTAACAAATAGAACTTGAAACGATTCCTTTTTCCTTTCATATGCAGATTGTTGGCCATTGACCACCATGCCAAAACATCCCCCATGTTAACCTGTCTATCTGAGTGGGTATAAATAACGTACATTTCCCCCAATGGATGTCACCATAAGGGACATTTCAGTGGTTATATTATAGGGGCAATCTCTAGTCTGACCTATTCAAACAAGTATCTAATGATACAAAAAAACATACATGCACATGTGTATATATACAGCACTGATAAAAACAATTGGTATGTAAATGGTATGTAATTGGGGCGGCAGGTAGCTTAGTGGTTAAGAGCGTTGTGCCAGTAACCGAAAGGTCGCTGGTTCTAATCCCCGAGCCGACTAGGTGAAAAATCTGTCGATGTGCCCTTGAGCAAGGCACTTAACCCTAATTGCTCCTGTAAGTCGCTCTGGATAAGAGCGTCTACTAAAATGTAAATGGATTTATGTTGTTATAATGTGTATGTTGTTGTATAAGCCTGTGACCCCCGGGATCAATACAGTAATATTAATCCATCCATCCGATCATAATTTATTCATCATAATGGTAAATTGTGAAATATTTGGTTATAGTACTGTATGTCAGTTGGGGTATCGAACTGACTAAGCAAAACTATCTGCACTTCCTTACATCAGTTACACTCGTTTACATCAGTAACACTTGGTAACATCTGATACACTTGTTTACATCTGTTGTGAAATAAATCAGTTTACTAACACATACCAATTCAAATAGGCCTAGGCTACAAATCTACGAAATACAATTTCATTCTGATTCATTCACAAACACAATATTTTTAATGATCTCACATAACATTCTGTTCATTGCTTACTGATTACAATAAAATGATTTGGAAAGACAAGGATGTTTTCGACCTGCTCTACCTTTTACTTCCAGATTTGGTTGGTGCAGACGATGGCCGCCGAAGCACCCATCTGTCCTTAATCCATAGTGTGCATGATGTCACAGCAGGCGTCATCGATATCCTGTCAATTCAACTCTCTTGCATAAAAGCACAAGTCTTGTGTTGTATGTCCTAATGTTTTCCTGAAGGGCAAGCTACTGTGATGTGCAGAGATTCATTGCTTTTTATGAACTCAAGTTTGAATGTTATTCATTAGGATTTAGACACAGATTGTAAAAACAGAATTAATCACAAACCACATCCAAGGTTGTGTACAGTTGATACTGTGTACACAATATGCTGCTGAAATCATTTTCCCCATTATGAGATGGCTATAGTCTATTGTTATTGGAGCAAGAGTGCCTACAACCAATATTTGTATTTACTGGTGTGTGATGGAACAGGCCAGGTAAGGCAGTTTGGTTCTACTTGAATTTCTATCCAGTCTAGCCGATGTGGATTAGTTTGGGTTGATAGGTCAGCGTCTTTGCTTTAATGTTAAATTATTTCATAGTTCTTATATTTCAAATTATATTTTTGTATTTATGGATCCCAATTAGCTGCTGCCAAGGCAGCAGATACTCTACCTGGGGTCCAAACATTATAACCTAGTCATAGGCCAAAATTGTATTAAATACCTAAATGAATCCTTATTCTGGCCACTAAACAGGCCATGAAAATTGACAGAATCACAGCCGTGCGTCACCCAATGTAAATAAGCAGCTGTTCTATTGAAAAATGTCCACTTAAGTCCCTTGAGTAGCCATCATGCTTGGTTGGGCAGAAACACTTAACATCTTCAGAAGGCAGAGTGTGGTGTAGGTCAGCTCTACTGGTAACAGAGACTAATACAATAGCACATTTAAAATGAATAATTGACCTGCAAACATCAAATTCAGCTGTGATGTACTGTAAAGTGGAGTCAAGTCAGCAAAGCCAAAGCTTACGTGTAATAGACAAAAGTGCATAGTTAAAACCTTGGTAATTCAATAAGACAACAAATGCATTCACTTTGTTTAATTCATAAAACGGGAACAGTTGTACATCTCATGTTCAGCAGATACAGAGACAAACATTTTCTAAACTGCAAACTTAAATTTCTCCATCCACCTAATCCTACTGGGCCATTTAAAAATGGCCCCCAAAAGCAACCCCTTCATGTCTGTAGTCCAGTTTCACATTCTGAAAAATCAGCAATCAAATTTTTAGCAGTCCAAATGGCACATGGGCCACTTTTAGAATTCTTGAGTATTTCAGGAGACCTCCCTCATAAAACAAATACAATTGCACTTTTTTTAAAGTACTTAAACAGGATTATAGATCAAAACACCACCAAAACACAAAATACTCCTAAACAAACATATACAGAATCATTATTTATTAGCACAAAAAAAATGCATAAATATACATTAAACAAAAGTACAAAAATACTTGTACTTTGTATATGCTCAAATATACTCTTTATAGACATTGATATTTTGGGAGAGACTGGGATTGTCAGAACCTAGGGGTGCATTCTAAAAGGTCCATGCAAGAGGAGCCATCTACACAACAGTCCATCTTTCACTTGTACGACCAGAAATACACAGGAAGCAAAGGGGATTCATTGTCTAGACTCTAAGTCCAGGTAAAGAGGCAACACAAGCACTAAGAAAAACGAGGATACACAGAACTCTGCTTTCTAATTCATGCCAAAAATACTTCAACATGCAATGACAGCTCTAACCTCTGAGCCATAACCCAAGGAGTAGCTTTATAATGTATAACTTCTTCAGGATGTTATTTTCTTCAGCAAATAATGACCCATTGCATTGACTTGGCTCGCGTGAGGGTTGGAAGTGCTAAGATGGTACCGGAATAGTTGCCAAAAGGAATCATCAGCTCAATCTGTCGACAGCAAGGTGTTGTCAGTTCAGACCCCTCCAGAGAAGCCAGAGAACATAAATAGGTCCGTAATGCACATTTGTCCATTAAATAAACCTGATTAAATTAATGATGAGCTCAGTAAAACCTTCCTTCAACTGGACGGAGAAGGTCTGGATCCCAAAATACATCTGAAGGGGGAAATTGGACAACAAAAAAAAAGTTGTCATTTTTCAATCAGTTTAATGTCATCCATATTGCATGTTCTGAAAAACCTTTGATTAAAGCACTTGTATAAAAGATACTCACTAAATATCTAACAGAACTGCCTGGACTTCCATCCTGGCTGGTTAGTTTCAGATGGAGTAGGGTACCAGCGCATCTAGAGAGATCAAAGAAACCAAAGTCAGACAGAATAACAATTGATCGCAACCTGTAAGATTTTCCAACAAGAGGACTGTCGGAAACAAGATTTTAAACGGAAAGGGAAATTAACTTTTTCCAAATTGTGGACTGAAGTCTTCTCACCCATTGAAAAGCTCTAAAAGTATAAATGCATTTAAACAGATTTGGATGAACTGTCCCTTTAAGCGCTGGTCATTCAAAGACCATGGGAATGTGGGTCACAGCTGCCCTATTATGACAATGCACAACAATGTCATAACAAGACCTTAATGGAAATGAGACAAGCAAGCTATTCCATGTGTTAAACATTTCCATCTTAAAAAGGTAACTAATTAAGTGACGACTACCTTCCCATACCTCTGGTCAAACTAGTTTGGTTGGACTAAAGTGAGGTCAATCATGACACGGTACAAAATCTACAAGAACAACGGTTCATGCTTTGTAGACAAGTTATTGCCTTAGGATTTCATCAAACAAAAGAAACCTGAATTTTGACCGCGAGAGGGTGAACCCCTGATAATTGTACGGTAAGCTTTGGTTTTGGAGCCCTTACAATTCATTGGTGGTTTGACAACTATACCAAGTTCAGTGTATTTCCTCATTCATCCATTGGACAGGAGTGTTGGTGGGAGCAAATTCAGAGCATTTGCGGGATCCTTCATCAGATGGCAATTAGGAACCCTCTCCTTTGCATTTCTAACAGAAAAGCTTTTGTTCCAAGCAAGGACGTGGACAGTAAGTTGGCACCTCCAAAGAAGATCGTCATGACCGACAGTTCTCTCCCAGTAAATACCACACATTTCTCTGAGGTTGTTTTGCCCAAAGAAAAAGGCCACAATCGCTGCCCATTTCACAGAGTAACACTCCACTGTTTTCATACATTACACAAGGAAGTTACCTCGGCGTGGAACTTCAAATGACCCGTGGCAGAAACCATTTCCACTATTCTTGCTGGACCGGACAACTGCAGTGTAGCCCACTGTACCATTATACCAGCATGCAGACAGCAATTAGCTATCAATGGAAGGACTTCACCCAGTGTTTTCTGCCTCAGTTTGCTTTGAGAGCATTCCTACAACACACCAATGGAAAGGCTGGTTGAAGGGTCCTATAGCTAGCTTCTTTATCATTTGCTAGTTTCCTCCCAAGACAGTCTCACTCGAAGGTAGAAGCAGTGGTGGAATTGAGGGGGAACCCCCTAGAACGGGGCCACGTTCAACAAGGCACGACATTGTCGAACGTTTGGATAGGAATATATAAAAGAACAAACATGCCTCTGACATTAACTGTGGCTGAATTACATCTGTTCATGATATTTCTAGCCGCAACGGGTCACAATGTTTTCCCACTGAACGTGGCCCCTGGATTCTGTGTGTAAACTGTGTTGCCGGCGATACGTCCATCAGTCTGTCACCGGACCTCCCTACCTGGGTTGCCCTAACTGAGTCAAGTCCATTTCCACCACTGGGTAGGAGTGTCTCCTCCATAAATTTAGAATAAGTAATTTAATAGGATCTCTATGGACTCCTCTCCCTAATGACCCTACGGTGTGAGGCTGCATACTGACTTAGCAGGAAGGAAGTGAACTCTGAAGGTGAGGATGCATTAAAGCCTCCAGTCACACTTGCAGCTTTCAGGCCCAGACACCTACGGAGCAGTGGGGCTCTTCCCTGGTGAGAATCAATGGGAGGGGCTGTGACTGGTGAGAACCAATGGGAGGGGCTGTGAGGAGATGGAAGTATGTGGTGTGAGGAGTCTGTCAGGACATGAATGCTACTAGCGTAGAGAACAGAGGAATGGATGCTACTAGCGTAGAGAACAGAGGAATGGATGCTACTAGCGTAGAGAACAGAGGAATGGATGCTACTAGCGTAGAGAACAGAGGAATGGATGCTACTAGCGTAGAGAACAGAATAGAGAACAATTATTCAGTGAGTCAGAAATAACTTCCTCTGTGGTATAAGTTGCTTTGAAGACTATATGACATACACAGCGGGGCAATTTCCTGTTCACAGAAAACAATACAATTCTAATCTGCCAAGACTGCCACTAACAGCTTGTCCTAGTTGACATGCTTCAAGGAAGTATGCAAAAGAGCCAACAATTCTGTTGCCGTTGACATCTGCAAGCGGGAAGTCACCCCAACGTGTTTGATGGCGTCGTATCGCTGAGTCGACCTTTACGGACGGTGGCAAGGCATTGAATTGGGCTAATGACAGTCGCTGGGAGGATGTCAAGAGCACAAGGAAGAGCCTATTGGCCTCCATTCTTACTGAACTGCAGTGAGTGGAGAGGAGAGGGGAGAAGAGGAAAGAGACCGGTTGGTCCCGTACCTGGGCGTGGAGGGCAGCAGCAGCAGCAGCCGCCGCTGGATAGGTGAAGGCGCCGTGAGGGAGCCCGGGGGTCAGCTCCGTGGTGTACAGGGGGTACGGGGTCCACGCGTCCGGGGACGCTGGGATCAACGCTGCCCCCGTCAGGTCATCTGGAAACATGCAGGAGGCAAAAAAATGGGGGAAAACACAGTATTGGGTATAACCACCATCTGTGCAAATGCCCCATTGACATTATCAGTAGTGATTAGAAGCTGCTAACTGAATGACAGCTGAAAGACCAACTAGAACACTACTCAGAACCCTACTGAATCCTCTATGTAGTACATGTGAACTGTAAAGTTGAAGTAGGGAAAGTCGTCATTGTCTTGCTTTCCTCTTTGCGTTAATATTTCAGATAAAAAGTATGGCATACATACATGTGCTGACAGTAATCCCAACTTACAGTCAGCGAAGTTAAGCAATTACAGTCATACATTTGTGGTCTTATGGGATTTTAAGTCAAATCAATATAACAACTAAGCCCGGTAGAAGTCATCCCAGTACCATTTAAACATCAATAAGGTCATTAACTAGGCCGGGGCCATCCAGTGCCACTCCTCACCCAGGGGCAACAAGCAGGTGCATGGGCAACAGAGGGGGCACCTGCAGTCTAGGCCGAGTCAGACTAGCACAGACACTGTAGAAATTCTAGATTGAAGAAAAAAAATTATAACTACATCTACAGTCCGATGAGGCATGCATGTGGCAGGTGAGTTAGTCTTTAGCTCATTATTCCACCCAATTGTGGGTTTTACTTCAACGCGCCCAGCAAGAGAGAGAGGGGGGGGGGGGTAACTGAGGATTGGCACAGTGGTGAGAGTGGGTAGAGGCTATAGTGTTGTTGTGAAGCCGTAACAACTTACATGGGTCCCGTGCAATGAAGTGAGCTCCTAGAGCAGGGTGGATATTAGTGGGGTTCGGTGTGCCCATCAGCTTACTCTTTGCCATCTTCGTGTTGGCTTTAGCAAACTCTAACCGCAGGGTCTGGGGGCACTCAGGGTCAAAACGGATGCCCTGAGAGGAGAGACGGGGACACAGGATTGTAAAGGAGGCGGCCTAGGTGAGTCTAGGCCTAGGGCAAGTGTGTCTCAGCCTTACATGACCCCCTCTCCATTGGCCCCGCTCCAATACTTGTCCAATGCGTCCTTGTTTCCCCACCTTCATTAAGGTAACCACTGATCTATACGTGACTGGATAAGAAAAGTAAAGTTTCCCCTATTGTCTCGACCAATCCAACCGCATCAGATCAGTGACGACGTCAAAGAGGAAAAGGGTGGAAGGATGCATCCTTTTTAAAGTAGTCTACAGGGCACTAGTATTCTCCTCTCCATGACCACTTAAGGGCACAGGGTGTGGATAGGTACTCAGCCTATTGCTTCCACCATATCGAGCCCTTTCATGACGAGAGAAGACGAGGAGGAGAGGAAGCTGTGAAAGACTTGGCCTTGGATGTGGTTGACCCTGGTTGTGTTTCTGTGCCCTAAGCATTGTGCCCACATGCAGGTGAGTATGTTGGTGTGTGAGTGTGAGACTGCTTATGTGGCTACAGGCTGTGACGTCCATATGAGGAAGACTATGCTATGAGAGCTGTGTTAGATACGGCCATTGTGGCTACATAGTGACAGTAAGAGGTTATATTACAGAAGGTGTTCAAAACTATCAATGTAGCTCTGTAATGATCTATTTATATGGCTAAGCAGTGATATGCAAATTAGGAGAGCTGTACCGTATTACGAAAGATGTGTTCAATTATACCAAGGTTAACTACCGTAAGTCTACAGGATTCTGGTCTCTGTTTCCAAAAATGGCCCTGCCCTTGAATTGTAAGAGAAAATGCTTTGTTTGAGTGATCAGACGAGATCAGTTAGCCCAGCAGTGAACCCCCATCCATACCTTACAGGTTAGAAACAGGACAGAGGAGACAGAGTCAAAGTAACGCTAACACAAAGCCTGCAGGTATAACGCATTATGACAGTTCTGTAAGACTCGATGACGTCATGATCATGTATGCCACCTTTAGGTGTAATCTTCTAATGGTTACAGACATTATAAAAAGGCTTATGCTTATACCAAGTTATAAAGCACAAAACATGCAGGCTTTACGTAAAGTGTTACCGAGTAACTACTGTATATGCCACAAAATAACAAACAACGCAACACATTTTGGGCAAAGTCCTTGTGTCCAGGGAGGATGAAGCCATTGCAACAATTCACGGCTACTGTCAACACTGTCCGCCTGGTCTGATGCTTACGTTTAATGCGTTTTTGGCAGCTTCGGCTCCAGTCCGATTGTCGAAGGTGACAAACCCAACTGGCTGGAAGAGAGGAGAGAACACTCAGACAGAGGGGCCTAACGTCCACCTCCACAGGTTAGCACAGGAACAACACTGGCCAAGTGCACTTGAGGTAAATGGTCAGAATACAGTGTGACTGAATCATAAATGCATTAGACAAGGCGAGCGCAAACGGATCGCAATAATAATAATAATAAGTAAATCACTTTTTCCAATCAGTTTGAAACAATTTCACAACAAAAGCTAAACCACATAAAGGTTTAATCTTATTAGATGAATGTGTGACAACTGCATGGGAAGGTTTTGTTACCTATTGAAAAATGATTAACTAGACCAATGTTAGCAATCCTACATTAAATTAGCTATGTACCACTTTTTGATTACAGCTAATCCAAATTGTTATTGGAAAACTGAACAATTCCACTCTCCAGCCAAGGTGGTATACTCCATATGTAGCCTTCATTAGGGGGCCATGATTGCGCTGTAGTAACAACAGAAAGCTTCTCACCTGTTTTGATGTCAACTTAATCAGTGACCCCTCGTAACCCTGTAAGAAGAAAATACCTCCAATTAACAACCATGAAGTCCCATGCAGGAAGCCAGACATACACTCCCCTCACCATATGAGGAGAAACCTGACAGCGTGGCGCTTGTATTTTGGGGGTCACGCACTTGATATGCTGCATGGAAAGGGGGCCGTCATACACATGATTAAGCACACGGTAACATGCTTAACCATATAGGTATGTCAATAAAGAAAATGGTGAAATCCACAGACCGTCTGGAATTATGTATTTTTGTCTCATCTTAAAGGAAACTATTTTATGTTACTGTGTAGGTCTAACTAGTTTGTGAACTGATGCTCCAACCTTCTCCTGAACTATGCCAGAACTTCATAGGCTGTTCAACAGCTAGTGAATTACTATTAATGTGAATCATTCTTAGTCATTGTTATAAAAATTGGCCAATAAATCTTTGGTTTGGATGTCAGGATGAGTCAGATTCCTGGGGAATGTAGTGGATGTTGGCCTGACTGTGGTATTGATGGATGAGAGATCTTCTAATCCTGATATACAGACATGGGAAATTAAACAACTTAAGCCGATGTGAAGTTGGGAGTGTTTCAATCCTGTCAGGAAATCCAAACCACCTTCAACACAAATGTAACACTAAATACATACAACTAATAACAGAAGCAGCTGAATCCCATCTACTTTGCTTCATACAAATCATTAAAAAGCATGTGGGCCTTAGGTTTTTGTGTTCTGGGAAAAACAGTAAAGCAGCTGGGAGGGTTGGGAGGTCCACTGCCAAAATCAAGCTTCAGATCCAATATACAGAATGATACAACAGCAGAGAGTATAGACTACAGCCAGTCTATGGCAAACAATATATACAATGGAATCTAATCTATGAAAACAGACATGGAGAACGGCCTGGTTTCAGTGATTTCATAGAACTGCTTTGAAAGCTTGGCCCGAATCACACGCAAAACGAAATGGAAGAATCCTAATCTTCCTGACCTGGAGGGGAGTTGGGTCACCGGGATAGTTGGCCAATAGCAGTGCTACTCATTTCCACATTCCACAAGACCATCCATGTGTGATGGCTACCACTTCCATTTTGGTCTGAGGGAGGGTGGGGGTGGGTTATGAAACTGTACATGTAGATTAATAATGAACAATATATTGTAGATGAACAGTGATTTAGTGTTACTCCTTTTAATATTTCTGGAGTCTTCCGTGGTATTGTAAGATGATAATCACAACATAATTAACCATATGGGCTGTTGCTTTTGCAAAAACGTCAAAACACTTAAGGGACTAAATTCAGCTAAGCTACGTTATTGGCACCCGATGCTGTCCGTTGACACGTGCGTTTACAAAGAATACTCCTGATAATATGTCCTTTGTTTATTCCCATTATGAAATGTTTTAATTTGAAAATGCTGAGAATTAAAATGCAGGAAATTAAAACGGAACAGAAAAGCCAATGACAAGAGTGGACTGTCTGCTGTCTCCGTTGCAGTGGACAATTACGAAAATATGGAGGCCAAATTCTTCCATCGCCTCAGTAACTAATCCCAAGAGTATGCTTACCTTAAATGGTCTGAACAGCAGGTACAGTTCACGAGGTTTGATATCCACTGGTAGGCCACTAACAAAGAGTGTTCGTACCTGGAAAACAAAACTCAATGAAAAACAGTCTAGACTATCTCCAGGGCCCCGTTTTTCAAAAGTTATCTATCCGGATTTCATCTATCGGACAGGATTAAATGCATAGTAATAGAATGGATGAATCAGCATTCTATTTCTGTGCATTTAATCCTATCTGATAGGGGAAATACGGCTAGATACCTTGAAAAACTGCGGCCAGAGCATAGGATTCAAATGATTTTTATTTTATAGGAAAACCCTTATACATTTTAATAGAATCAGTCATGAACATTAGAGAAGACTGTATGGCAATGTGGTCCTGTATGGTTCCGTTGGTAGAGCATGGCGCTTGCAACGCCAGGATAGTGGGTTCATCTCCCACCCATACGGAAAATATAGGCGCGCATGACTGGCGCTTTGGATAAAAGCGTCTGCTAAATGGCATATTATATATCATAGAATCGTGACTGAAGGACAGATTCATTGGCCAGGTTCTACTCATTAACATATTATGGGATATTGTGCACACAATCTTGCTCCTGAAAATGGAGCACCGTCTTGATATGTTCAAATATTCTTTGCGATCTGTTATTGTCAAGAACTTGCAGAATCAGGTGTTACTGCTTGGCTAAAACCTGCACACAGACCGGTCGTCGGCAGGGGAGGATTGTCCACCTCTGATGCAGTTTGAAATGTCAAAACAAATTGAGATGTTTTCTGTACTGTACAAAGGACAGTTTTGACATTAATCTCCTAACAGACTAACCTATTCCTAGTTGACTGAATAAAGCTCTATACCACTTGCTTAGTGACACAACCAAACCATTTTCCTACATAGAGATAATGGAGCGCTTCTGGGCAACACTACGCTAACTAGTACCGCCACACCACTCTGACTAGTACCGCCACACCACTCTAACTAGTACCGCCACACCACGCTAACTAGTACCGCCACACCACGCTAACTAGTACCGCCACACCACGCTAACTAGTACCGCCACACCACGCTAACTAGCACCGCCACACCACGCTAACTAGCACCGCCACACCACGCTAACTAGCACCGCCACACCACTCTAACTAGTACCGCCACACCACTCTAACTAGTACCGCCACACCACAATGACTAGGCTACTGAAGGAATGCTCACTCTACAAGCCCCCAGATGTCGGCCCAAATCCTTGAACATGCAGCATAAAAAAGCAATAACAAAGGACGATGTGCTACGGCGACCTAAAATGGTGGTGTTGTCTTTAAGAACAAAGTAGTGATGTGCTGCCCCTCATGACTCAGGCTGCGTTTACACAGGCTGCCCAATTTGATATTTTTTTCCCACTAAATGGTCTTTTGACCAATCACATCAGATCTTTTTACGTCAGATCTTCAGAGCTGATCTGATTGGCCAAAAGACCAATTAGTGAAACAAATAATCAGAATTGGGCTGCCTGTGTAAATGCTGCGATCCATTTAGTGAGAGGGAAAAAGGGACGGATTTCCACATGTGAATCCAACCCAAACATGGGCCTGTAATGTTGTCCATTGAAGCCTGCAGTGGCTGAGGAAATAAACAGGCCTACAGAAGGGCCATTGGTTCCCACTCTGTGGGGAGGCCCGTGCAGCACAATGGACTGCCAGAGGAACAGCGGCGGACAACAGTGCACAGTGTGACACCATTTCCTTCCTTTGACCCGCGCCTCCGAACCACAGCGGCAACATTTCAGGTGCTCCTGCGACAGAACTCCCATGCAAGTCTATGGCACGTACTGTCAGCCCCGTCCCATCTAGACTAACTCATCGGCCTAATTTGAACATCTGACTACGGAGTAGAAAATAAGCATTACTGTTAAAAGATTTCATATTATGATTGTCATTTAAAAAATGGTTTAACCTTAGAACAATATGGTTTCTTGGACAATTGAATATTTGTTGAAGGTTAATCAAAAATACACTCAAGTGTGTAGGTTACAGGGCCTAAATAATACAAGGCAAACGCAAAATAAGGTATATGGTTGAATCTGGAACAAAATTAAAATAATTGATTGGGATATGCAAGGGAAATTATGAAGTCCTTTTGGCAATCCATCCATCCACTTGCTGTAAGCCTACCTACCCAACGTTGGTGGATTTCGTGGATCTATCCAGTTAATGTCCAGACCAGAGGACATTTATTTTATTTATTTACACTGCAAGATTGGAAATACATTTTACATTTTTTACTGACCACAGATCAGATTAGGATACGAAATGTGTGTGATGGCAAAATAAAGTCCGGTTCTGTAAGAGGGGGCAGATAGTGTGCGCTGAAGTTCATCGGCAGTATATGAAATCAGGTGGGTCTGTCCATAAAGCTACAGGACAGACAAACCTGATCAATTCATAGGCCTACTGCGGATTTGTTAAAATGTTTAAAATGAAGCCTAACCTATAGATCTACAATTGTAATATTTAAAATTGAATAGATTTGAGACTTTAAAAGCAAATAAATCAAAATAAATCCTGAAATTCTGCCAAAATGTTCATGGCAATTAGGCTATAGTCTAACCCAATATTTCACGTTCGCCATAACAATTATCTACTGTAGACCTAATTTAAAGACACCAACCCCCGCAAAAAACAATCCTTTTACTTTCAATCATAAAAATGTAAACGTCCATTTAAAAAAAACTGAGGCACACCCTTTTCAGAACCTCCAATGGAAACGAACGACTTAAGAAAACCATACCTAGATATAACTTCACACCCTTTTTCTCTTGCAATGGGTTTTGAATCAGTCTAACATGAATTAGCCTACAATTAGGGGGAGGAAATCAATTTGTAGGCTACTTTGCATCTCTTCCAGACTAGACTTCGTAGGCACACTCACAACCGGTTCCAAACAAAGACATTCTGATACAGAACTTTTATGACAAGTAAAAAAAACCACCAAAGACCATATTCTTACCTCCTCTTCTATGGAAACGTTGTTCGTCTCGGAATCAGACTTCAGACTTGTGATAGACATGTTGAGCTTTACTTCAGCGTCAGTTAGAGAAGAAAATGTGAAGTTTTTAGAGTATTTTCCCCAAGTGCGCTTGTGGTTGAAGTCTTGATGGCGTTTATACTTCAGGAAAGATGTGCCGAGGTGAGTTCGTGGTGTAGCCGAAGTATCCAAGGATGTTTTGCGAGAGATAATCATTCATAAAAATAAACTAAAGGTGAATAAGTGCAGTGTGAGGGTGCAACAGGGGGAAAGAAGTGCTCGTATGCACCTCTGCTCACATCAATTGCGTTTGGTTGGGGAATCTGGTGGGAGAACAAGTCAACTTTTTCATTGGAGCGCGTTTCCGCGGTCCTTCCCCTGTTTTGCAATTAGGTCATCAATTATGTTCCAGCCCTGTGAGTGCTGTAATCATGTTGGAGATCCGCCTCAGCTGGTATCAAACCCTGCCCCTTCATAACTGCATCACCGTTTCTATGGGAGACCATGAGCCAATAGAAAATATTTTCGCAACCTATACGTTCCCTTTTTGTCTGCCTATAAAATGAGCATCCCACACATTTTTATTATAGACCTATACATCTCAATGTATGGTTGTTTGACATGCACTTCGAGTATCTTTTTTCTTGTAAAATTTAATTAGCCTTTAAATAATGATGGAGATGATTTTCACTATTAAAAAAAGGAAGATTATTTCATATACAATTTCAGTGTTGTTTGACACAAATTGACTTAACTTTAATAGAAAAAACACCAGCCATCGAATTACAGAAACACCTATTATTTGTGCCAGTCATTTGAGATACTTTAGTATTTAATACTAAATCAATAGGCCTTTTATATTTTAGATTTGTGACATTATAAGCCATTTTAATTTGAAAAATATATGTTAGTGTATCATTGGCTAATGTTAATTAATTGTGAGCTGTATATTTGTTTTATATAGCCTAAAAATATTTATTATCACTGATAAAACATTCTCTTTTATTAGCCTAATTACATTTTCGAAAGTTGATATTTAATATAGGCCTACTTTAGGCAAAATATTTCCCATATCTATCTGTTTTCTTTAAAATGCTTTTCTGTATAATGCATAACGGTAATGATTCCATCTGCTCAGAATATTATTGAAGACAAAGATCGGTTAATTTAATTAGATTATGACATATGATCTCAAAGTAATATCTGTTATAATATAGAGGGTTTCTATTCACATTTTCAAACCAATGTTCATTTTCAAAAACAACGTAGATTGTTACTACTGCATCCTAAAACTGCATTAATGACTAGTCAAATGTTTTAATCAAAGTTAATAGTACAGAATCTATATAATTATTCTGTATCGAAGTATACAGAATCCTATACATCTTTTTATGTTTTATGACATGCCTTTTTAAGTTGAGCAGGTCTTTATGAGCAGATTGTGATGAACAAATGTTGAAATTGTTTAAAGCAAAATGACACCAAGTTTATGCCAAGGTATGATGCTGGAGAAATGCCCAGGTTTATCTCACATGACCAGAAGTATGTGGACACCTGCTCGTCGAACATCTCATTCCAAAATCATGGGCATTAATATGGAGTTGGTCCCCCTGCTATAACAGCCTCCACTCTTCTGGGAAGGCTTTCCAATAGATGTTGAAACATTGGTGCGGGAACTTGCTTCCATTCAGCCACAAGAGCATTAGTGAGGTCGGGTGCTGATGTTGGGCGATTAGGCATGGCTCACAGTCGGCGTTCCAATTTATTCCAAAGGTGTTCGATGGGGTTGAGGTCAGGGCTCTGTGCAGGCCAGTCAAGTTCTTCCACACCTATCTCGACAAACCATTTCTGTATGAACCTTGCTTTGTGCACGGGGTATTGTCATGTTGAAACAGGAAAGGGACTTCCCCAAACTGTTGCCACAAAGTTGGAAGCACAGAATCGTCTAGAATGTCATTGTATGCTGTAGCGTTAAGATTTCCCTTCACTGGAACTAAGGGGCCTAGCTCGAACCATGAAAAACAGCCCCAGACCATTTTTGCTCCTCCACCAAACTTTACAGTTGGCACTATGCATTCGGGCAGGTAGTGTTCTCCTGGCATCTGCCAAACCCAGGTTCGTCCGTCACACTGCCAGATGTTGAAGTGTAATTCATCACTCCAGAGAAAGCATTTCCAATGGTGGCGAGCTTTACACCAATCCAGCCGATGCTTGCCATTGCGCATGGTGATTTTAGGCTTGTGTGCGGCTGCTCGGCCATGGAAACCCAATTCATGAAGCTCCCGACGAACAGTTATTGTGCTGACGTTGCTTCCAGAGGCAGTTTGGAACTCGGTAGTGAGTGTTGCAACCAAGGACAGACGATTTTTACGCGCTATGCACTTCAGCACTCGGCGTCCCGTTCTGTGAGCTTGTGTGGCTTACCACTTCAGCGGCGGAGCCGTTGTTGCGCCTAGACATTTCCACTTCACAATAACAGCACTTACAGTTGACCGGGGCATCTCTAGCAGGGCAGAAATTTGACGAACTGACTTGTTGGACAGGTGGCATCCTATGACGGTGCCACGTTGAAAGTTACTGAGCTCTTCAGTAAGGCCATTCTACTGTCAATGTTTGTCTATGGAGATTGCATGGCTGTGTGCTCGATTTTATACACCTGTCAGCAACGGGTGTGGCTGAAATAGCCGAATCCACTAATTTGAAGGGGTGTCCACATACTTTTGTATATACAGTGTATCTCAACAAGGCCTTACTAAATCTCAAAGGGCAGGCGGCTTCCTGACTTTATATAGCAACACTTTGTATAGCAACACAATCAGGGAAAGACTGGGCAGAAGCGTGAAACACAGTAATATAAATATTTTGCCTCCTTTGCAACTGTTTGCCATATTGCCTTTACAGAGCATCTAACTATAGAGCAGCCTTTACAGAGCATCTAACTATAGAGCAGCCTTTACAGAGCATCTAACTATAGAGCAGCCTTTAGAGCATCTAACTATAGAGCCAGCTTTACGAGATCTAATATAGGGCAGCTTTAAGGCATCTAACTATAGAGATCCTTAAGAGATCTAACATAGGCAGCCTTTAAGAGCATTAATAGAGCACCTTTACAGAGCATCTAACTATAGAGCAGCCTTTACAGAGCATCTAACTATAGAGCATCCTTTACAGAGCATCTAACTATAGAGCAGCCTTTACAGAGCATCTAACTATAGAGCAGCCTTTACAGAGCATCTAACTATAGAGCAGCCTTTACAGAGCATCTAACTATAGAGCAGCCTTTACAGAGCATCTAACTATAGAGCAGCCTTTACAGAGCATCTAACTATAGAGCAGCCTTTACAGAGCATCTAACTATAGAGCAGCCTTTACAGAGCATCTAACTATAGAGCAGCCTTTACAGAGCATCTAACTATAGAGCAGCCTTTACAGAGCATCTAACATAAGAGCAGCCTTTACAGAGCATCTAACTATAGAGCAGCCTTTACAGAGCATCTAACTATAGAGCAGCCTTTACAGAGCATCTAACTATAGAGCAGCCTTTACAGAGCATCTAACTATAGAGCAGCCTTTACAGAGCATCTAACTATAGAGCAGCGTTTTATCATGCTTTGACCATGTTTATTGTACATCTGGGGGTTATTGGCTATATATAAGTCAAATCAATCCCAGGAGGGTAGATATTTATATGTAGACATTCACTGTTGCAAAACAAGATCGTTGGATCCAATAGAGAGGGAGCGGTTTCGATGAGAGAGTACAGACTGAGTAGTAGTCCTACTGACTCTATATTACACTGGGTAGTAGTCCTACTGACTCTATATTACACTGGGTAGTAGTCCTACTGACTCTATATTACACTGGGTAGTAGTCCTACTGACTCTATATTACACTGGGTAGTAGTCCTACTGACTCTATATTATACTGGGTAGTAGTCCTACTGACTCTATATTACACTGAGTAGTAGTCCTACTGACTCTATATTACACTGAGTAGTAGTCCTACTGACTCTATATTATACTGAGTAGTAGTCCTACTGACTCTATATTACACTGAGTAGTAGTCCTACTGACTCTATATTACACTGAGTAGTAGTCCTACTGACTCTATATTATACTGAGTAGTAGTCCTACTGACTCTATATTACACTGAGTAGTAGTCCTACTGACTCTATATTACACTGAGTAGTAGTCCTACTGACTCTATATTACACTGAGTAGTAGTCCTACTGTATGACTCTATATTACACTGGGTAGTAGTCCTACTGACTCTATATTACACTGGGTAGTAGTCCTACTGACTCTATATTACACTGGGTAGTAGTCCTACTGACTCTATATTACACTGGGTAGTAGTCCTACTGACTCTATATTACACTGAGTAGTAGTCCTACTGACTCTATTTACACTGGGTAGTAGTCCTACTGACTCTATATTACACTGGGTAGTAGTCCTACTGACTCTATATTACACTGAGTAGTAGTCCTACTGACTCATATTACACTGATAGTAGTCCTACTGACTCTATATTACATGAGTAGTAGTCCTACTGACTCTATATTACACTGGGTAGTAGTCCTACTGACTCTATATTACACTGAGTAGTAGTCCTACTGACTCTATATTACACTGAGTAGTAGTCCTACTGACTCTATATTACACTGAGTAGTAGTCCTACTGTATGACTCTATATTACACTGAGTAGTAGTCCTACTGACTCTATATTACACTGAGTAGTAGTCCTACTGTATGACTCTATATTACACTGGGTAGTAGTCCTACTGACTCTATATTACACTGAGTAGTAGTCCTACTGACTCTATATTACACTGAGTAGTAGTCCTACTGACTCTATATTACACTGAGTAGTAGTCCTACTGTATGACTCTATATTACACTGGGTAGTAGTCCTACTGACTCTATATTACACTGAGTAGTAGTCCTACTGACTCTATATTACACTGGTGGGTACTGCCTACTGATCTACTATCTATATACACTGGTAGTAGTCCTACTGACTCTATATTACACTGGGTAGTAGTCCTACTAGACTCTATATTACACTGGGTAGGTCTACTGACTCTATATTACACTGGGTAGTAGTCCTACTGACTCTATATTACACTGGGTAGTAGTCCTACTGACTCTATATTACACTGAGGAGTAGTCCCACTGTATGACTTTATATTACTGATGTTAATTGTTACAGTATTACACACACACACACACACACACACACACACACACACACACACACACACACACACACACACACACACACACACACACACACAGAGAGAGAGAAAACAAATAGACAGTGACAAGCACACACACTTGTCAAGAGATAGATGGAACCTGATGTTCTCTCACCTGATGTTAAAGGAGGAA